TCTCTTCAACTTCCTGTCTTGGTCCGCAGAAAAACGGCTCTGGTCATGATGTCTATGAGGTGCACACGGGCAAGGGCGATCCAATGAAGGTGCTGGAGATCCAGAAGCTCGATGATTCGCACAATCTGCAGGTCTGGCTGAATGCCAGCACAGAGGGAGAGACCTCCGTCTGCAACCAGATCAATGGCACCGATGCATCCTCCTATCCACCGTTCCGCCAGCGCGGCGACTCCATGTACATCTTCAGTGCGGACATCTGTCGGTCCGTGCAGCTCTTCTACCAGGCGGACATCCAGTACGAGGGCATCCCCGGATATCGCTACTCCATTGGCGAGAACTTCATCAACGACATCGGACCGGAGCACGACAACGAGTGCTTCTGCGTCGACAAGCTGGCGAATGTGATCAAGCGGAAGAACGGATGCCTCTACGCGGGCGCCTTGGATCTGACAACCTGTTTGGGTGAGTCGACAGCTGACAATTTATCGACGAGAGAGTCCGATAATCCATGAATCAAAATACATATTGTGGCGAAGGCTAAGACTACTCTGTAAATGTAAATGAACGTATGCAAAGATAATACTGATACTCAGTGATGAGAGACTCAATAGAACCGAATCTTATCTTCCAAAATTAATGATGTAAAGATTACATCTAATTGAAAACCCCGCTGTTATTCCTACGAGTATTTTATGCAAAGAATTTCCAAAATATTTGTTTTTACGCTCTGGGTGTGTTATCTATCGCTTATCTGTAGTTCCTCATGTTATTTCACAGTCTAAACTGAAACTGAAACTGAATTATAATTTCAAATGCGAGTAGATTCCCATAAATTAACTAGATCAAAGACTTCTGTTGTGCTTTTCTGGTTTTGTCTGGGTCTCAGAAGGAGTCCATCAACTTATAGATGATATTTGATAGATCATATAGAGCATTTGGCCTTTCCATCACTTCCACTTGTGAAAAACTAAACTGATTTTGATACCAAACGCATTTTTTGCCCAGTTTCCTCTCAAGAGAGAAGAGCTCATAATGTTTCCCCCATTGGATCGGCTAGAGTATTACCATCTTCGTTGATTTATTAGCCCCTTGGTTATGGCATCTTCTGAGGCTTCTTTTTCTATGATATAAGTCTGATTTAATTTAATTAGCATTTTATTTATGTCGATAGTTTAGGCATTTGACAGTTTGTTTTGTTTTTTATTATGAACACTTAACTCAAATGTTAACGATTGAATGTTTCATCCATTCGGACTCGTACAAGCCTTATCATTAATTGGAGCAATGCCGACAGACAGCCAAACGGTCGGTCATTCCTAAAAATACCATATCGACATCGACAAAAACCATCTATGAACTTTAAGCATTTTTTGGTCTCAAATCTTCATTATCATTTTCATTTGATGATATTGAAATACGTACGTCTATACTAACCGGAAATATTTCGAATAATATTTGACAATTTTTTGCCATTCATCGTTTTTTTTTTGTTTTGGTTTTTTGTTGTTCTTGTTTTGTTATGCAAATGAGTCTCTCTTTATGGCCGTATTGTGTGTTGTCTTATGGCGATTAACCGGCCATTCAGGCAGAGGAAAGAACTCCCCCAAGGCACTCCATGAGCCCATCTGTCATCGCGTGGCTGTGGCTGTGGCTGATGATGGTGGTACGAGTGGATTACCAGAGTAATTATAAGGCGAGAAATACTAAATCAAATGCAAGCCATGCTTTGCGATTGATCTTTGAGGGGGACGGGGGATGGGATCCAATTCTAGCTTGTGTTTTATGGGACTCCTATGCTAATTCTCTGAAGAGAAGTGCAAACCAAAGGCATCAACATCGACACTCGCAGCTAATCAAATTTAAATTATGCGCCACTAAACCGTAAAAAAAAATATAAATAAAAAGCAATACAAATGGAATATTTCCATACACACGCGCTCAACCCCCGAAAACTGACAAATTGCAAGCGATTTTTGTTAAGACTTTGATTTAGATTCAGATGAAGATTCGCATTCAGATGGAGATGGAGATGGAGATGAAGATTCTGTGTGGGCTGGCTTCGTTCTTCGTTTGATCTTCTTCGATTGTTTAATTTCTTAATTAACACTCGAGTTGGAGAGGGAAAAAAAGCGTTTAGCTTCACATTTGGAATCCAGTTCTCCCCCGAGGGGCATTGCGCATTTGAAATCAAAAGTGTTGTCTTTGGGGTCGGACTTAATTCATCTACGTACTTGAAGTGAGCCCCCCACTTCATCATGATGTTCTCGAGTGTGTCCGAGTGAACGAACGCTCCACAAATTGAGGCAGCAAATGCGAGCTGTATACCATTGGCTGGGAGGGTATTATGATTCTAACGAGAAGTTGCCAAAGAAGGAAATTCTGCTGAGCAATCTAGTCTGTGAGTTCATCAAAATGATAACTATCATAGGAAAAGTGTGTTTAGATCTTCGACTTCCGATTATGGCCTTCATTTCTTGATCATATTTTTTGTGGTGTGGTTTTTTGTTTGGGTGTTTGCCGATCGCGCACGTTTCCAGCTTGAGATTCTTTTGGTGATTCCTCCTTTTCTTTAGTTCATCATTTTTTTTTATTTTTATTATAATTGTCGAAACGTGAGTTAACAGTTTCAGTAATGAGCATTTGAAATACACAGTTCATTGTCTGATGAGGAAATTCTAGCAAATTGGTTCAGGCTTTGGCATCAGAGCCGTGCCATGCCATCCCAATTCCAATCCCCATCCCAAGTGCTTGTGTAAATAAATAAATAAATAAATGTTGTTCTGGCAAAACGTGAGCCGCCGCAGCTTCCGCAACTCTCTAGATATTCTGTGAAATATTTTCAATTAATTTAATTGAATTAAATGCAAGTAGCTCGCCGCCACAAAGGTCAGGCAATCCTGTTTTGTTTTTTTTTTAAATATTTCAACAATGTAAACAGAATAATTAATATTGGAATTGAATGGAATGCATTGACACCCCCAAGGAGCTGGTTATGCAAATTAAGATGTTCCTTATATATGTATGTATATTTTATAATTATTTCTGTGTATGCAGATGCCCCTGTTATACTGACGCTGCCGCATATGCTAGGCGCCTCGAACGAGTACAGGAAAATGATACGCGGCCTCAATCCAGATGCCAAAAAGCACCAGACCTTTGTCGATGTGCAGTCGGTAAGTGAATTCTCGCGGCGAATGCCATACTCGTAAAAGAACCTCAATTTATTGGTATTTCCATTAGCTGACGGGCACGCCCTTGCGGGGCGGCAAGCGGGTTCAGTTCAACATGTTCCTCAAGAGCATCAATCGAATAGGCATAACCGAGAACCTCACCACAGTCCTCATGCCGGCCATTTGGGTGGAAGAGGTGAGTGCCACAGAAGCAGAACCCCAATAAACCTTCGATAGATCATCTCTTGTCTGTTCTTCCTGCAGGGCATCCAACTCAATGGGGAAATGGTGGCCTTCTTCAAGAAGAAACTAATCAACACCCTCAAGGCCCTCAACATAGTCCACTGGGCGGCTCTCTGCGGAGGGGCAGGCGTGGCCCTCATCAGCCTGCTCTACTACCTCTACCAGAAAGGACGCGGCGAAGAGGCTCCTCTGAAATAGAGAAATGGGGATGTACCTCCTCAACGGAGATGGACATGGAGATGGAGCTGTAAATGTAGATGTACTTGTTATGCAAATTAAATGCTTGTAAAGATGTATTTTTTTTGTTTTTTTTTTTTTGTATGATTAAGTTACTTTCAAGCGTGTCTATATACATGTAAAGATGTATCTGTTATGCTATACCTTTTGTCTACGAATTTGTATATAATTTATTTTTTAAATGTGATTCTATTGTATTGTGATTTAGCCTACTAAAACCTACCATAAACTAAACATGTTGTTGAATTAAATTGTGAAGAATATGTTGGTATTTCGTTTCAATTCCTGGAATTCTCAAATTAGAGAGAGTAAATCTCTGGGACTGTTTAAAGATTTCATTAGAGTGTTCTTCCAAGGACCATACATCATTTTTGTTGACCACAAAAAGCACTTTGCATATTTCAAACCTTGATCTAACCGCCCCTCTCCCTATCAGCAGTGACTCAAGTTCAAGATCAACTAATGAGGGAATCCAAATCCAAGTATTAATCAATCAGCAACAGTTTTTGGCCCCACAATTTGCACAGACCGCCAATTAAAACACAGTTTATATTGCACAAATTGGCTATCAAAAAAAAAAAACAAAACAGCAGCTAAACAAAAATAGTTTTTGACTTGGGCAAGACCATACAAAAAGGCTAAAGGCCCAAGCCCCGTACCGATTGACCAATTCCGAGATGCAAACAGAAATATTTCCCCCGAACTGTAGTATAAACAATGCTGTCCAAGGTATTATTTGCCTTACAATGCGATTGAGATTGAGACACCCGAGACCGAGACAGAGTCCGAGTCTGAGCCCGAAGCTGGGACTGGGTGGGGTTTTGGCAATGCTGATTGATTGACAGCTGCGAATCGCGACTGTCAATGGATTGATTGAGACTTACGAGGCGATTAAAAACGCGTGAAAAACGCTTGCGCTTGCGACTGATCAGGTTGATCAGGTGGATCAGGTGGCTGGCTCTCTGCCGATAAATATTTGAAATTAATTTCATTAGCCAAATGACCAGCTAATGGCTGGTTGGCTGACCGACTGCAGAACTTTCTAACTTTATTTTGTATGGTTGAATATTCGTTTTTATTCATTTAGATAGGTTGCTGTAGGTATTCATATTCCATTCTTTTGGGTTCTTTTCTTTCGGTCGGAGAACCTTTTAAGCTCTGGTCTGGTCATAGTAATTATGCAATAGCCACACACACCACACAGCCACACACACAACCAGTTTGTCGCTGTCGTCGTCAGAGAAGTCGTCGTAGTCGTCGTCATATTCAAATTGACTTTAGGCTGAAGATGCGACCGCTCGCTGGTTCAGTCGTCAACGAAACGCGCAAACGCACGCAGCAGCTAGCTGTTAAAAACGCTCACCCATACCAAGACGAAACACAAAAACAAAAACGAGCGCGTTTAAAAACGCTTTTCGTGTGAAGGGAAATTTACAATTTAAATGAAGTAAGGATCTCTTCTCTGTTACGCTCTAGATTCTGCCGCGTGGTGTTCTATATAAGAGTGAGACCCGATCCAGATCGTTTGTCAGATCATCGCAAGATGCCGAGGCAGTCGCTTCTGCCCCTCCTAGTCCCCTTCCTCCTTCTGCTCGTCGTCTGCCCCTTGGGGCGGGTGTCGGGCAAGGTCTTCGATCGATGCGAGCTAGCCAAGCTCCTGCAGCATCGTTTCGGACTACCCTCTGCCCAGGTGGCGACCCTGGTGTGCATTGCCCAGCACTCGAGTGACCTGAACACGGCCGCCTTCGGTGGTGGCACTGGACCGGGAGGCGGCTCCCATGGCATCTTCCAGATCAGCGACGTTTACTGGTGCTCCCCGCCCGGACAAGGCGCGGGCTGTGGCCTGAGCTGCTCTCGCCTGCGGGATGATGACATCGCGGACGATGTCCTGTGTGTGCGGAAGATCTACGCGGAGCACCAGAGGATTTCGGGCGATGGATTCTCCGCGTGGCAGGCCTACAGCGCGTACTGTCGCCAGGACGTGGCCTCCTATGTGGCAGGATGTGGCGTGGGAGTCAGCGGAACAGCTCTCTCGGTGGCCGCCTCCTATCAGCACCCGCAACAGGTGAAGGTGAACCACTACCAGGGACAACCACAGGTGCCACTGGCGGTGGCTCCCGTCCAGCGCCAAGCAAAGATTTACAATCGCTGTGAGCTGGCCCAGGAGCTGTACTACCAACACAAACTTCCCATGCCCCAGATCCCCACCTGGGTGTGCATTGCCCAGCACGAGTCCTCCTTCAACACGGCAGCGGTGGGTCGTCTCAATGCGGATGGGAGTGCGGATCATGGACTGTTCCAGATCAGCGATCTATTCTGGTGCACACACGATCAGCGGGCGGGAAAGGGCTGTCATGCCACGTGCAATCAGTTCCTGGACACCAGCATATCGGATGATGTGCAGTGCATACGGAGGATCCATCAGGAGCACACCCAGATCTCCGGCGATGGCTTCAATGCCTGGACTGTCTACAAAAGGAACTGCCTGGATCAGCACTACGAGCAGGTGGCGGCCTGTTTCGCCAAGCCCCAGGTGATCGCCAGCCATCCAAATGCCATTGGGGGATCACCCATTAAATCAAAGGTCAGCTATGCATATCAATTCGGTCAGAAGAAGATCACTCCTGTGGCTCCGGTGGCTCCCATTGCCAATCAATACTATAAGCCAGCCCCACCCTTGCTCACCTACCAGCGAGTGGGTGTGAGCTATCAGGGCAATCCCTTCCTGAAACCACCTCAAGCTGCGCCTCAGCGTGCGGCTCAGTCCCACCCCAATGCCATTGGCTTCGGCGGAAAGGTGGGCCAGAGCCTGGCCAATCCCTTCTTTAGCCACAAGCAGACACAACACACAACACAGCATTATCAGCAACACTATCAGCAGGCACATTACCAGCAGCAGTATCTGCACAGCACACACAGCACACCAGTAATCACATCCACATCCACATCCCGGACGGGTACGGGTACGGGTAAAGTTTTCAAACGCTGTGAATTAGCCCAAGAGTTGTATTTCTCACACAAATTTCCCATGCAGGATATAGCCACCTGGGTGTGCATCGCCGAGCATGAGTCCTCCCTCAAGACGGCGGCCGTGGGGCGCCTCAATGCGGACGGGAGTGCCGATCATGGTCTGTTCCAGATCAGCGATCTCTACTGGTGCACCCACGGTGGGGCAGAAAATGGTGGCAAGGGCTGTCACATTGACTGCGATCGCCTGTTGGACTCGGACATCTCGGACGATGTTCAGTGCATAAGGACCATCCACGAGGAGCACACGAGAATCTCAGGGGATGGCTTCACGGCCTGGACTGTGTACAATGGACACTGCAGACAGCAAACCAAAGCGGATATAGTCGGTTGCTTTGGGGGTACAGATCTGTCAAAGGAGCAGGTGCCTCCAGCCAAGGGAAACGAGATTACAAAGAAAGCACCTCCCCAGAGGGCCAAGGGAAAGATCTTCAAGCGCTGCGAACTGGCCCAAGAGCTGTATTACAAGCACAAGCTTCCCATGAAGGAGATTCCCACTTGGGTGTGCATCGCAGAGCATGAGTCCTCCTTCAACACGGCAGCCGTGGGTCGTCTCAATGCGGATGGGAGTGCCGATCATGGCCTGTTCCAGATCAGCGATCTCTATTGGTGCACCCACGGTGAGGGAGGAGGCAAAGCCTGTCACATTGAATGTGATCGTTTGCTGGACTCGGACATCTCCGATGATGTGAAATGCATTAGGACGATCCATGAGGAGCATACCCGCCTGTCAGGGGATGGCTTCAACGCTTGGACCGTCTACAACGGGCACTGCCGGCATCAGAGCTTGGCCATGTTGAGTGACTGCTTTGATGGCAATGAAATAACGGAGGCGCAGAGGCCGAGGCCGAGTCCGTATGCAGAGCGGCCACAGGTAAAGCCACAGCAGGTGATCATGGACAAGCCTCAGCAGAAGATCGCTGCCAGTCATGGATATGCGAATAATCCTTTTCTGCAGAACATACAGGCAGTAAAGAACCCGCAGGTATCTGCTCAGCAGCTTGCCTTGTTCAGCAATTCAAAAGAGAAGCCTTCTACAGCCCTAGTCCCAGGCAGTTCTCCATCGACAAGGCCCAACTATGACCACAATCCCTTCCTTAAAGCTCCTGGCTCTCCGCGTCCCTCTGCTACTCCGCTGAAGAATTCTGTGCAGGTCAAGCCCAATGATAATCTTTCCTATGCCCAGAACCCATTCCTCAGTCTACTGGCAAGGCCAATCGTGCCCGCTCGAGCACCTGTCAAGCCCTCAGTCGCTACGAAGTCTCCGCAGCATGTAACCAGACCCTATGTCAGCAGTGACAGCTTCCGCAATGAAGTGATAAAATATACCGCCACATCTTCAGGTACAACAACAACAACAACAAAGCACCCCATAACATCAACAACAACAAAAACAACCACTAAGAGCACTGCCAAAGCAACTGTGAGACCGACGAGTTTCCCCCCTTGGGTATGGCAAACTTCCGCGAAAACAACGACAAGAACCAAGCCCACAACACGGCCCCCGTCCACAACGAAAGCTACAACTCATTATACTACTGTAACGAAACCCACGTCACGCCCAACATTAACCACTCGCTCAGCGGCAACCACTCGCCCAACGACCATCAGCACAACAACAAGACCTGTTACTCGTTATATAGCAGTAACGAAACCTACGACGCGTCCCACGTCAACAACACGCCCAGCCACAACTCTTCGAACTGTGCCTACCACCCGCCCATCAACAACAGCGAGATCTGTAACGCATTATACAACTGTAACTAAGCCGCTACCTCGAGCCACACCGACAACGCGTCCAACGACAACAGCCCGTCCAGCTACAACAACTCGCACTGTTCCCAGCACTCGCCCAACTGCCTCAACCAAAACTACAAATCACCCAGCACCCACAACTCGTCCAACTATAACGACTCGTCGAACATTAACAACGAGATCTACAACTCGCTACACAGCCACAGCAAGACCCACCCAACGGCCTACAACGAGACAAACAACTCGTTACTCAGCTATAACCACACGTGCCACTCGTCCCACCACGTCAAAAACTCTCCCGAGCACCACCCCAAGACCATACTTATTCACATCGACAACAACACCACAAAAGAGTTCGACCACGGCAGATCCTTTCAGTCATCCTTTCTTCCAGAAATTTAAGGCCAAGTTTGAAAAAACTCCCAGCCCTGTTCTACAAATCAAAACACCTACAACAACAGCGGCACCTTCACGCCAAAACCAGAGCACCACCAGCAGTCCGTACTACGCCAAATACCAGGAGAACAAAGTCAAAGTGGCAGCCAAGACAGTTTTCTCTTACGATTTTGGTCAGAATCGAACGACAACGAAGCGACCTGATAATCCAACAACGAAAATAGCATCGAGAGCACCCAAGTCTGCTTTCGACGTGTATCTAAATTGGAACAAAAACTAATGGGTTCCGAAGAGCTGAGTGGAGCAATGGACGGAATGGGGGATATGGCACTTTTAAGACTTGTAAATACGCGTTATTGATTGATGTAATACGGCTAGTTTAGCATAATGGCAGAATACTCATGCATTATTAATCGTAAGCATTATAAATAGGATTTAGATAATAAAACAAAAATAAAACACATGCGAATGCGAAATGTACGAAAATTAATTCAACTTTAGACAACAAACCACCAACTGGTTGAATCGACAGCCTAACAACGCGCCAAACGTCGTCGCCAAGTGCGATCGTGGCATTAGCTGGAACATTTTGATTAATTTTCATTAACTTAACTCGTTTTTTGCCAACTCTCTGCCTTGTTAACATAACTGCTAACCGTAGCAACAAATACAATCCGGCCACAAGAACTGAACAAGTATATTCGAACAGCAAGCAACGAGTTTTGCATTCGAATTAGGTTTCCGAGAAGAGCTCTCTTATATTTCACCACGCTATCGATTTGCATATTTTATGTTATCTCCTTCGAAGCAGCAGTGTCAACGAAGAAATCAAAAATATTTGAATACCCATTTTAAATTTGATATAATTGAGCAGTTTCCCTCCTCTTGCCAATCGTAGCCGGTAGTACCACCGCTAAGTGTAGCCATAGCACTAACAAAAATGTCGTGAATACTAAGCTAGCCAGATCATCGAACTTGTCGGAATATTTTGACGTTGAAATTAAGTTGAAGCGCTATCCAAACAGTGTGTAGATGCTAGCTAGTAGTATTCAACCAGCAGCAATTTTTGAACGAGAATGAGTGATAAGGATTTAAATGCAATTCATTGGATAAATGATCCATGTAAGGATGTAAGTTGATAGTGAACATTCAAAAACGTGTCGTATGGAAAAGTTTTCATACTTAAGTTTCTTAAATATACCCTAAAAACTGAAATTTAATGAAATTGATAAGAGGCTATAAATTTCCCTGAACGGAACGTAAGCACCAGAGTGACCATTTACGATATATTATATACTAGGGCTAGAACGGTTCGTAATCAAGTAGTTTTTTAATCGTTTTTTTTTTTAAATGGTATATTTTGGTATATTTCTGAGGGGTTACGCTGCTGCTCTCTTCTGCTCTCTTCCTCATACATGCAACGGAAAAAAGAGTCGGAAGAGCGTAATTTTGAATGGTCTATAGAAAGAGGTATGGACAACAGGCAAACACCCCATGGCAAATTGCAAGGTTCGGAGGAACCTCACCTCGGCGCAATATGCCTTGAAGACAAAATCGGTATATCGGCTAATCGGGTAATCAGGTTAAGAAGGGCGGATTTTACCTTGCATGTGTTGCTTTTTCAGGGCTGTCTTGCCTGTTATCCATACCCGCTTTTTTCTCCCATTATGTAGAAAGTGTGTGTAGCTACCGCGTAGATGCCATGTAAAATATTGAGAAAATGTAAACATTCAACACAAAAAAACAAACACAAAACTAACTACGAGAATTAATCTAAAAACCACCCACCACCCACAACGAAGGCCCTAAGATAATCCCCAAAGTGAAAACCCTTCAGAGCAGTGCATTTATATTCCGAAATCACGCGTCTCACGTGCTGGGGCAAGGGCTGGGGCTAGATTTTTTTTTTTGTGCAAAAGTGGACGTAGTGGCTGTCTTGCCGCAGCAACTAACTGTTGGGGAAAACAAGTGGAAACCAAAGAGTATTTGCACGATCAAGAAGCTCGATCGCGCGCGTCGTTCGGTTTTCGGCCTAAGGGCTAAGCGCCAGAAAAGTGCTAGAGCCGTGCACAGAGTTCATATGAAAAATGAATTGAAGTAAGTGCCTATCCTAAACAAGCGACAAATTGTGTTAAACGACTGCAGGCTGTACAAAACGATACACACACACACACACACACACAAACATAAGACACCAGCTCCCCGCTGCCCACCTAAGCCAGATTACTAATACTACGGCTTGCGGCGATGCGATGGTCCAATCGCGGTTTCTCATTTAATATATAGTGAAGATAAAAACCAATTCACACATGAAAAAAAATCTAATGGCCGTAGTGTACCTCGTTGAGACAACGGCGGTGGCGGTGTTTACATTATAGCCCCCCATATGTTTGTCCTAGCTGACTTTGCAACTTTGGGCGTACTGGGGCTGAAGTAATATCCCTGATTCAGTGCATCATGTATACCTTACCATAACATACCATTCGTTTATCATAATCTGATGCTAAACGGTTGAGCAAATATCAAAAATAATAATAATAAAATATAAATTAAACATTGAGCGTTGCCGGACTGAGAAAATCATCGTGGCAACGCCGCGCCAGACGATAAATCATTGTTTTGCGTTGCCGGACTAAGAAAACCATCGCAACAACGTGTTCTTGTTCAACACTGAACAATTTTCCGCCAGCTTCTGGCAACGCCGCTCCAGACGATTATTTTGCACGCGCATTCGTGAAAATGGCGGCGTTGTCGAACTACTGTCGCTGCCAAATTTTTTGTACATCAAAATAACCAAAATAAAGCGACATTCTTCCGTGCCCGACGTCAGAGGCCGACCGAGTGCGTGTGGTGTGTGAAAAATTGTTGATAAATCTTCCAAGCAACGACCCACCGGGGTAGAATAGTCAGATAACACACGCGACCGCAAGAGAAGGAGAGCTCGCCAGCGCAGCAGCAGCCGCGTGAATAAGCTCTTGTCAGCGGAGCACCCGCGGCCGCTCTTAAGGCTTTTGGCCCAAATTCAAGGTGAATTGAATGCAATTACTATATGTGTGCGCGCGTGTCTTGCGTCTGTGTGTGTATGCTCCCGCTTCTCCAGTGTCCGGCGTGATCTACTCTACTCTTTTGAGTCTGGCCACCAGGTGCTGTGTGCTGTGTGCTGGTACTGGCGCTGGTCGGATCTTGACATCTGCTTGTTTTATGACCGCCAGGTAACGGTGGCACAGGTAGCAAGCTGTAAACGGCAGCGGCAGACGCGTAAATTATCCCAAAATCATCCGATCACTGGGTATACCCTTCTATAAATACTAAAGAGCATTTAATATTGCATTGCAGTTCGCTTTTGGGACACGCAGCATGCAACAGTCTGTATCAGCAACATCGTTCCGAGTGATAGACCTTTGCTGCAGCCACAACCACACGATGTCCGAAAGCAGTTGATCGAGAAATCTGGCGGCAACAGTACGTCCTCTGAAGCATAATTTTTGCTAGGACACTCGACAAAGGGTCTTCAAACGCCTCCGCCACTCCACTTCACGCCTTCAACACAGACACACAATCCACTCCGCTCCTTCACCTTCACCTCCGCCTCCACGATGAACAGCCAAACAACAGCCGGCAATCGCATCACATTCACCAACCAATTGCCGAATGGAACCATCAACATAGCCGGCAATCCGGGCAGCGGTGGCGGTCCGACGATCATCTCGACTGCCCAGCTTCCAAACACGACAACCATCAAGACCATAACGGCCGGAATCGGGGGCCACCATCCGGGCCTGACGCAGGTGCACCACCAACAGTCGCCCCACCAGCAGCAGCAGACGCAATCCGTAGGTGCCACCCAAACACAAACCCTAGTTATTAAATCCAATCACCATGCTGTCACCCTGCCGGCGGGTCTAGTATCAAGTGCACCAGCAGGAATCGTAACAATGACCAAGACCATCAATCAGGTATCCACATCAAGCTAAACAAACAAACAGAAACAGAAAACAGGCGTTAGGCGAATGAGTCGTCCGATCCGGTTTATCTCTATATATTCCCATATTCCCCATATTCCCATTTTCACCTAAATCCAAGTACAATCCAATCCAATCGGAATTTAGTCAGTCGAAACACACACATTGAGGCGTACACATATAATTTTAAAACATTAATTTATGCTTTTATAGACGGCTTTCATCCTCCAATTCCATAATAAATCCCCCTTTCTGCCCATATCCGAACACTCCCAACCAACCAACCAACCAATTCTATGCTCATTTTTTTTATAGTAAGAACTCATGATTGTATTTTGTAGACCTATTGCTTTGAACGCTCGCTTTATGTAGAACAACAGCTCGTAGACAAACAACGAAAAAACACGCCCCGCAAATCCCTAACAAATTGATCTGCACATCAAAATTACATTTTCCCTTTGTGATCCCTGATCTATGATCTGTGATCCTGCGATCCCGTGAACGGACGAAGCCATCATATAAGCCGTGAACTGGTTGCATGCTGTAGGCAATCTTTGAATCCTCCCTACTCTAAACGCTTCAGCCCCACTGTCGTAGAACTTGAACTTTCGATCCACGATCCTCGTGGAAATTCTCTGAGAAATACTAATCAAATTGTGTCCACAGGGCCAGCCGCTGCTCAACTCCATGCTGCCGGCAGGAGTTGTGGTGGGCATGCGGCACCAGTCACCGGCGCAGCAGCAGCAGCAAAAGAACGTGTCCGCCAATCCGCTGAGTCGTGTGGTAATCAACTCGCACATGGCTGGTGTGCGACCGCAGAGTCCATCGGTGAGTGTTCCAATGCCTTGCCATGCCATTTGAGTGGTGTAATGTTGTTGTGGTGGGTTCTTCTCTACTAATCCACACATCCCACAAATCCAATCCCAAAAACCCACAAAATGTTCACATGATCCACACCAAACTACATACTGGGGCCCCCCCACATCCACACACCACACCCGACACCCGACACGCGACACACACCATTTGTCCAACCGATGAAAACCGAATCCGAATCCGAATCGAATATCTCTCTCTGTTCTCTATTCTATCTTTTAGATAACTTTAAACACACTTAATACAGGACAGACCCCGGCGTTGTTGCTGAAAACGGATAATGGATACCAACTGTTGCGCGTGGGCACGGCCACGACGACTGGCCCGCCAACGGTGACACAGACCATGACCAATGCCAGCAATAACACCAACAGCCACCACACAACAAGCACCACAAACCATCCCACAACCACACAGATACGACTACAAACTGTGCCGGCTGCAGCTGTAAGTAGATATCATGGGCAACAACCATCCCAACAGCAGCAACATCAGCAGCTGCAACAACAGCAGCAGCAGCAGCAGCAGCAACAGCAACAGCAACTTCAGTCGCAACAAGCATCCAGCACTACTGCCAGCGTTAGCATAGCACTGCGCAAAACGATTGTCCGTACATCATCCACAATCCCATCCAGCAATAGCAACAATAACCATATAATTAATGCCTCCACCACCACCACCACCAACACCACCACCACTACTACCAACAACAACAACAACAGCAAACCCGCTAGTAACCAGCAGCAGCAGCAGCAACAGAAGCTCCAGCAGCAACTGAAGGCTCAGCAGCAACAGAAACAGCAGCAGCAGCAGCAGCAACAGCAACATGCCGCCGCCACGGCTGCCGCAGCGGCAGCAGCTGCAGCCAATGTGCCCGTCACTATAAAGATCAAGCAAAACGTAAAAAGAAGAACCATCTCTCCTCCAGGATATATGCCATATATAGAATACATATATATTTTGCTCTTCTACTCTCTGTTCTCCTTTTTGTCTGTTATGCTGTTATTTGAATCTTATGATCTTATTTACGCTTCAGTTCAGTTTTAGTTCGACTTATTCGACAAATCAAATCAATTCATGATTACTCAATTCGTGATTCGTATGATATATCGATGTATTTTACTTAGCCTACGTTTTGCATGCATGCTGCATATCGTTGTGTATATCCGTATCCGTATCCGTATATATATCTGTATCTGTTGTCTGTGTATTTGAAATACTCTCTTTATTTTGGATTTAGTCTATGCGCTGCCTGCTTAAGCTATGGCTTTGGCTTAGGCTAAGGCTATGGCCTGTTGCTGTTTCAGGACTCTGTCATTAGAAAAGACAGACACTATTTCTATACATCCATTCATAGGCTGAGGAGTAGTAGGACTCATCTTAAAGATGTGATGTGATGTGATGTGCTGGACTGCTGTGGAAGGAAGATAAAACTGCTTAAGCTCATCTCATGTCGCCCCCCCACCTATGCCATAACCACCCCCATTGCCCTCCCCCCCTGCACATACATTTGGAGTCCAGGAACCTGCTGCTGCCCGCCCACCCACAAGAAATACCATAATCATCATTAATATTGTACTATCCATATACATACATATATACATATATATATATATATATCTATATCTATATACATATATATATAGCTTTCTTTTGTGGTTAATCGTACGCTTTTTCTCTCCTAATTTTGCACTTATATTTGCGCTGCGTCTTATCGAATATCAAATATGACGATCCCAGCCGATCCGATGAATTCCCTGGCTAATCCATTGGTTCCTCTCTTGATCTCCCTACAGTCGATGACCAACACCACCGCCTCCAACAACATCATTGTCAATTCGGTGGCCAGCAGTAATGCGCATGGCTACACGACCTCATCGCAGCCACCGCACCTGACGCAGCTGAACTCGCAGGCGCCCCACCTGCCGCAGATCACGCAAATCCAAACGATACCAGCACAGCACCAGCAACAACAGCAGCAGCAGCAACAGCAGGTGAACAATGTGAGCTCCTCGGGAGGCGCACAGGCTACGACGAGCACAACGACAACGACGACGGCTCAGCAGGGAAATACCAAAGAAAAGTGTCGCAAGTTTCTAGCCAATTTAATTGAATTATCGACACGGGAACCGAAGCCAGTGGAGAAGAATGTGCGCACCCTCATCCAGGAGCTGGTTAATGCGAATGTGGAGCCCGAGGAGTTTTGTGATCGCCTGGAGCGTTTGCTCAACGCCAGTCCACAGCCCTGCCTCATTGGGTTTCTCAAGAAGAGCCTGCCACTGCTGCGTCAGGCCCTCTACTCCAAGGAGCTGGTCATCGAGGGAATCAAACCGCCGCCGCAACATGTCATCGGTCTGGCGGGACTCTCGCAACAGCTGCCCGTAAGTCCCAACACTGATGTTCCATTACTTCACTTTTGTATTGAAACATTTGCTGTATTTTTTGTAGAAAATCCAAGCGCAAATCCGTCCGATTGGCCCCAGCCAGACAACGACCATTGGACAGACGCAGGTGCGCATGATAACACCAAATGCGATGGGCACGCCGCGGCCCACCATCGGCCACACGACGATATCGAAGCAGCCCAACATACGGCTACCAACAGCGCCGCGACTCGTCAGCACGGGCGCCATTCGCACCCAGATACCCTCGTTGCAAGTGCCTGGACAGGCGGTAAGTTAAACAAACTCCCTTCCTTTTGATTCCGCTTTGATTTCCCTTGATCACTTAATGTTCATGGTTACGTATCTTATAGAACATTGTGCAAATCCGTGGACCGCAGCATGCTCAATTGCAGCGCACGGGAACTGTGCAGATCCGGGCCACGGCCCGACCGCAAAACACCACGCCCACGAACAAACTCACTGCCGTCAAGGTGGGCCAGACGCAGATCAAGGCGATAACGCCCAGCCTTCACCCGCCGATGCTGGCAGCCATATCGAACAGTAGTGGGCCGCCGCCCACGCCCACGCTGTCGGTGCTGTCGACGCTCAATTCGGCATCGGTCACGTCGCTGCCGGTGCCATCGCTGCCCACGGTCCATCTGCCGCCGGAGGCGCTGAGAGCCCGTGAACAAATGCAGAATTCGCTGCACCACAACAACAATAACCACTTTGAGCCGAAGCTGGTGGAGATTAAGGCCGGGTCGCACCTAGAGCGAATGAATGCCTCACTGACGCCCATCTCGGGCAAGACGCTGGTAAAGGCATCGCCGGCGATCAGCAAGGCGGCGGCAAGTAAAAAGAGGAGGGATGCGCTCGATGCCAAGGACGAGTCGAAGGCGAACAGTGCGAGCGGAGCGGCAGCGGCGGCCAATTCGTTTTTCCAACAGAGCTCGATGTCCTCTTCGATGTATGGGGACGATGATATCAACGACGTGGCCGCCATGGGCGGTGTCAACCTGGCCGAGGAGTCGCAGCGGATTCTCGGCTGCACGGAGAACATCGGCACCCAGATACGCTCCTGCAAGGACGAGGTGTTCCTCAACATGCCCGCTCTGCAGGCGAGGATACGGGCCATCACCACGGAGGTGGGTCTGGACGAACCATCGCAGGATGTGGCCGTCCTCATATCGCATGCCTGCCAGGAGCGACTGAAGAACATTGTGGAGAAGTTGGCTGTGATAGCGGAGCACCGCATTGATGTCATCAAGGTGTGTGGAAATGGTGCAGCTGCTGATTCTGTAGATCCTCTAATCTAATAATGATCCTTGTTCGGCTCCTTGCAGTTGGACCCCCGCTACGAGCCCGCCAAGGATGTGCGCGGCCAGATCAAGTTTCTGGAGGAGCTCGACAAGGCCGAGCAGAAGCGGCACGAGGAGCTTGAACGCGAAATGCTGCTCCGGGCGGCGAAGTCCAGGTCTCGTGTGGAGGATCCCGAGCAAGCCAAGATGAAGGCGAGGGTAGGATATTTGACCCAGTTCCTTCCAGGCTCTCAGATTCGCTATAGTTCCATTTCATTTCATTATTTAGGCCAAGGAAATGCAACGCGCAGAGATGGAGGAGCTGCGGCAGCGGGACGCTAATCTGACGGCTCTCCAGGCCATTGGACCCCGCAAGAAACTCAAACTGGATAGCGATGCGGCCAGTGCGGGAGTGGTATGATCTCGAACGACTTAGACCTTCTGCAAGTGATGACCAAATTCTTTCGTCTTTAGGGTTCCAGCGGCGGCGGACTGTTGAGCAGCTCGGGCTCGGCACCAACCACGTTACGGCCGCGCATCAAACGCGTCAATCTGCGTGACATGCTGTTCTATATGGAGCAGGAGCGCGAGTTTTGTCGCAGTTCCACGCTGTTCAAAACATACCTCAAGTGATCGCTGCTGTTCGTCATTCACATTGTCTTCTACTCCTGTTCCCGTTCCAGTTCCAGTTATATTGCACGTCACCGCCTGCCCTGCCCAGGCCCGGGCCCGGGCCCCTTGGCCTCTGGTAATGTTTCCCGCTTCAGATTTCCTCCAATCGCAATATAATGTAGCCTCTGACTTAACCGATTTGATTCGTCGTCTCCGTTTCTTGTTTTTTTTTTTTTAGTTAGGAGCCCCTGGCCCCCACCCTATTTAAAGTGTACTTTTAGAACCTTAAAATCTAAATCTAATTTCTATTCGCTCTTGATTTTAAGTCTAGTTTAAAGCTCGTTTATTCCCCACAATAAATTGTCTGTAAAACTTAAACCAAACCAATCCAAAAACGCAGAAACAAAAGCTAAACATAAACGAAGAAATATGAAGAAAGAAGAAACAAAAGGAAAGAAAGAGAACAGAGTAGAATAGAACTCTATAGAACGCGCAGTCAGCAGAGGAGGGGCGTTTGAATTGTAATTGTAACATAACATAATGTTTGCATTAATTGCATTGACGGCCTTATCTAAACGATATAAACATAATTATTAATATTTAATTAATTACTAGCTTAGTTTGTTAAACGAAAACAAAAGCGTAATTCCTAGCCCTTAAGTGAGATGAGATGATGTGCAGCTGAATGAAAGCAAAGAGGATAAGTGGTCAAATGGAGCAGGCAAGCGAATCCGAGAAGAGAATTGCAGTTGGCAGATTGCAGATGGTTTCTAAAACCATCAGAAGAGAAGTTCAGAAGTTCAGCAAGGAACAGACACACACACATCAGAGGAAACCATTTAAAGCATATATTGAATTAGTTCTAGTTGTTTAAACCACAAGCTGTAATTCTAAATAACATATTATGTATAAAACCAACAACCCCCCAACCAACCCAACCCAGCCCAACCCCAACAAACTGTACATAAAGCCTAGGCTAAGGATCTTCTAATAGTTATAAAAGTAGGTAAACCGAGCGTAATTAACAAATTCAACAAGATGATGATGATGATGATGATGAAGACCGAGGATGCGAATGTCTAGGCATTAAGATAACTAAACATGTTTTTATTAGAAGCGCTCGCTCGTTCATCCATTTAGAGACACGATTCGATAGTATCTACCATACATACATACATAAGTGTGCAGGATCTGGTGGGTTGGGGCCAATGTGCGGCCCAGATCTCGCCCTGCCATCTGCTCTCGGACCAAGCTGCAGGCAGATCGATCGGCATTGGCCCTACCTCCTTTAATCCGCCCTTCCTCCCTCCCTAAACATGAACACGAACACCACACAACACACAAAAACAAAAAAATAGATGAATTTGTATACAATTAGCCAGCAAATCTTGTAAAATACAATCCCCACGCAAATGCAAATGTAAGCGGAAACGAGTTACGAAAATCAAAAATAAATTGACATTACATTTCATGAAATTTCCATCAAAATTAAACAAAACAAAAGCATTTCTCAAATTCAAAGTTCTTTGTGTGTAAATTCAATAAATAAAAGTTGTCCTTAATGAGAAATGTAGATAAGAAAGCAGGCAAAAAAAAGCAAAATCAACCGAGAAAAAACACAGCGCATCGCATAGTTTTGGTAGGCATATATCTGAATATATTATATATAGTATATATATATATATATATACTTATTATGTTTTACAATTACATACGCATAAAAGAAAACAAACGAAGCGGAAAACAGAACTATTGTATGTAAAATTAAGTAAAAACAAAAAAAGAACAAAAACAAACTAAATCCAACAAAAACAAACAAAAAAATAAAAGGACAAAAATTCAGAAAACTTGTGTGCACGGGGAATACATACCATACCATACCACACATACATACTTGAGTATATTTTATATACGGGGGAACCTACAGAAATGCAGGGAAGTGCAGTGCGCAACGCAACTTTTTTAACAACAAAATATACAATTTAATTTTTTCAATGATGGTATCTCAGTTAATTAGCTAGTTAATTGATTAAAATGTATGTAGTTGAATTAAATAATTTTATTGATATTTTTACAATAATTTTTATTATGTTAAATATTCTTAATGCATTTTTTTGTCGTTCCCCTAGCTAACAAAAAAATAAAAAAAATTCCCCAAAATTTACATTGGGATACAACAAAAACCCACAAACAATTGGCACATTTTCCATAATAGTTTTATATTTTGCCTGCAATGTTTATTAGTTGTTCATTTTTGCTTAAGTGAATTTTTATTTTATTTTTCATGTAGCGATTTAGCTTTATTCAAATTTAGAGTTGGGCGCCAAACGCTCGTAGTGCCTGCAGCCCTATTTTCGCGGATGTGTGTGTGTGTGTGTGTGATTGCTCATATCAATAGTGTTGGAAAACACTGTATGTTGTGATTGTTTTTGATAAAGATGTGTTTTCGGCAAAATGACTGAATTCCTGGCTGAAAACAATGCCTGTGGCCAAAATCTGCTGAATATTGTGTCGGTAGGTAACTCCATCATAGCAGAGATCCTTCGACTCAAGGACTACGTTCCCCTAATTTATCGGTAGGTTACAAATATGACCCAAAAAGCCATAATGAAAATCTGAATCTGAAAATCCCCGCCTGCAGATTGGAGACAAAGGCCGATCGGGAGAAATATGGCGAGATTATACTCGACTTTAGCTACTTCAAGGTGGCCGAAGAGCACGAGAGGAAAATCGAACAGAGCCCGGTGAGCAGTAGAGTATAAATTAAAGAAGAAACACTTTAATTGGTTGGCATTTCATGGTGTAGGAGCTCAGTGAATTGGATGATGACATTCGGAGCCACTTGCCGCTGATTAGACGCTTTTACCTGGCCTTCCAGAGCATCCATCACTATGCCAAAGATCTGCAGCAGTACATAGAGGAGCTGAACAGTGGATACTACATCCAGCAAACGCTGGAGACGGTGCTTCAGGACGAGGAGGGCAAGCAACTCTTGTGCGAGTCCCTTTACTTGTATGGAGTTATTTTGCTGCTTCTGGACTACCACATTTCCGGCGATGTGAGGGAGCGCCTGCTGATCTCCTACTACCGCTACAGCGGTGGCGATGCCACGCCCAGTGGGGACGAGAGCAACATCCACGATGTCTGCCTACTCCTGCGATCCACGGGCTACGTGCATCCCTCGGAGACCGCCAAATTGTTAAGCTTGGGAGGGAAACAGGCAGCGGCGGGAGCTGCCAACCTGGTAGTTCCCAAATACCCCGAAGCGTACTTCTCCCGGTTTCGCTTCGATGCGAGCTTCATAGATCTGGTCATTGCCCGTCTCCGCTGCGACGACATCTACAACCAGTTGGCCATCTACCCGCATCCCTCGCACCGCTCCACGGCCCTCTCCTCCCAGGCGGCGATGCTGTACGTGTGTCTCTACTTCTGCCCCCAGGTCCTGCACGGCCAAGGCTCGCAGATGCGCGAGATTGTGGACAAGTTCTACTGCGACAATTGGATCATATCCGTGTACATGGGCATCACGGTAAACCTTATAGATGCCTGGCTGGACTTCCAGGCGGCCAGATCTGCCATAGCGAATATTGTGAATCCAGCAGCCGTTCAAACGCTGTGCCAGCAGCAAAGCGAGCAGCTGGCGAAGAGCCTCCAAAAGACCCAAGAGATTGTCCGAGAAGGAGTCCTCGACGACGGCTTCGTGCTGCAGCATGCCAACAAACTGATTGTCCTGATGCGTCAGTGCAATGTCGTGCTGCGCTGGTACTGCCTGCACACCTCCCGCGAGGTTTTCATCATATCGTGCATTGCAGTCGAGCCCAGCCACGTGCACCAGTTGGTGCTCAAGGAGCTGAAGTTCAACCGGAACACTCTGTATCATCTCCTGCTCAACTGCAGCCAAATGGAGCTGACTGTGCGGGAGCTGCTGGGCGAGGTTCAGCAGAGCAGGGAAGAGCGCTGGAGCAAGAGTCGCGAAGGGGCAATGCAGCGTCTGCAGGAGCTGAGCGAATCATTTTCCGGCACCCGGCCGCTGGCGAAGATCGAGTCGAATGCCCATCTGCAGCAATGGTTCGGTGAGGTGGCCAAGCGGCTGCAGAAACTGGAAATAGGCAGGCCGCAAAAGTCCGGCCGCCTCATCATTCAGGTAATGCAGGCCCTGGACGAGGTGCAGGAGTACCACAATCTGCACGCCAACATGTTGGTGAAGCAGCAGTTGCAGGAGACGCGGGATCTGCTCAATCGGATGGCACAGGTACAGCTAAAGCTAAAGATATCCTAAAGCAATATGTAATCCCAACAAATCTTTCGTTTAGTTGATCAACCTCAAGGAGGACATTGAGATCCAGATACAGATGATCACCGACTTCAGTTATGCCTGGCATCTGCTGCAGCGGGACTTCAGGCCCCTCATGCAGGAGCACATCAAGCGTCAGCCGCACGCAGTCCGCGGCATTCGGTCAGTGTTTCTCAAGCTGGCCAGCACTCTGGAGGTGCCCTTGATGAGGATTAATCAGGCCAAGAGCGAGGATCTCGTGTCCGTGTCCAACTATTACAGCACAGAGCTCGCCAACTTTTTGCGTCGAGTGCTCCAGATTGTCCCAGAGACCATGTTTAGCATTCTGGCGAGGATTATCCACCTGCTCACGAACGTGATAAAGGAGTTCCCCACACGCCTGGACAAGGACAAGCTTAAGGAGTACGCCCAATTCGAGGAGCGGGCCAAGGTGGCTCAGCTGACTAACTCCATTGCGGTGTTCACCAAGGGAATCCTCATGATGAAGACCACGCTGGTGGGGGTAATCGAGCTGGACCCCAAGCAGCTGCTGGAGGATGGCATTCGGAAGGAGCTGGTCAATCATTTGGCCAATGCCTACAATCTGGGACTGATTTTCACGCCCGAGAAGGGCAAGTCGCAGGTGCAGCTCATGCAACAGAAGCTTCAGACTCTGGCCAAGACCATTGAGGGATATCGACGGTCCTTCGAGTACATCGAGGACTATCTGAGGGTGCAGGGTCTGGGCATTCTGCTGGAGGAGTCCCAGCGTATCATCAGCTACAATGTAGAGAAGGAATGCAACGCCTTCCTGCGGAACAAGGTCCAGGAGTGGCAGTCGAGCCATCAGAGCCAGATCATACCCATTCCCAACTTCCCGCCCCTGCAGGGGGACCCATCGAACTCCAACAATTTCATTGGACGCCTAGCCCACGAGCTCCTGCGCTGCACAGAGCCCAAAGGGACCATCTACCTGGACCTCAAGAGGACGTGGTATGAGAAGAGAGCCCCGCACCCGGAAGTGCTATCCGCTTCTGGGTTCTTTGGCATTCTGCGCGAGGCTCTCGACCCCGCTGGCATGGTCGGACTGGAGCGGCTCTATGCCCACATGCTGGCGGACGAGCTAAAGCGCCATCTGGAGCGGCTTCAGAAGAACCTCACCTCGGATCGCATGTGGCGCGACGCCCTGGAAAGCGTCACGAAAGAGTTGGAGTCGCGCGACTTCCCCGGCCCCGAGGTGGCCAAGCAGCCGCTCAAGTATTATCTGGACTATACCCAGCGCTGGATGAAGGTGTGGCCCCGGCTCTTAGACTGGGTGCTCTCGGTGGGACAGAAGCAAGTGCTGCGCCAGCAAATCGCCACCGAGCTGAGCTTCAGCAGCAAATGCGAGGCCAAGCTGTTGCAGAACACGGCGGACACGCTTAATCGGTGAGTACTGCGTTAGAGGAGTCCCAGTCGTAGTCCCCGTCCCAGAAGAGTAATACAATTCCATCTCCCTTACAGCGCCTTCCTGCTGGAACTCTCGCGCAGCAAGGACCTGTGCGATGAGCAGGGCGTTGGAATGCTGACGGACCTTGAGGACATCCTCCTCTGCACGGGTAACTTTGAGCCCTTAGAGCAGGTGTTCTTCCCAACCAAGAACACGCACAATGTCTCGTTGTTTCTGTTTCTCTTCACCATTGCTCATGTGGATCGACTGCAGCATTCCGCTAATACAGACTGCCTGCTGCCCAAGGCAGCCAAAGATGTGATTGATTGTGTGCCCCTCGTGGTGGGCCTCCTGACCATTCTTCAGCAGTTCCACAGGAACGTCAAGATGCTGTACATCTCCTACATGAGTCAGTATGTGGTGACGGTGGCCGAAGCGCAGCTATCGTGAGTGTGCAATTGTATTCCCTGCCAGGAATCCGTTATGCAAATGTTGTCTTGTTTTTAGGGACAAGGAAATGCTGGGACCCGAAGTGACCACTGTGCTCCACTTCCTGCAGACCTTTGTGCGGCTGGGTCGCCTGCCGCTGCGAGTCCTCGAGCAGCGCATACCCAACATGATACTCTCCGAGTTCGAGTATCTGGCCACGCCCATCAAATGAGTCGGCTCTTAGGCTACACAAACTTTAATAAATTCAAAACATAACAAAGAAATGCCTCGCTGAGGTGCAAATGGAGATAGGAGTGGGGCACAACAACAGCAACGAACTGAGGATGAGGATCAGGATTCAGGATGAGTAAGTAATATCCGTTTCCCCCTCTCCCATGGAGTGGGCTCATTTACGTGATGACGGTGGGAGCATTGCGGCCAGTGAATTTGGGCAGCTGAGAAATCTCCAGGGCAATGTCAATCAAGGGCTTCAGCATGACGCTAGCCTGGCCCAAGACATTCTCCTTCTCATACGAATCAATGTACAAGCTGAAATAAGGAAAAGCAAGCGTCGTAAATGCGAGAAGAGTTAACACGTTGTGCGAGTACTCACCGCACTGTGGCTCCGGAGCTGCCTGTGCCACTGAGACGCACCACAATGCGGCTGCCGTCCTCGAAGACAATGCGCAGACCCTGCTTGGTGGCAACCGACTTGTCCACGGGATCTGTATAGCTGAAGTTGTCCGCCTCCTTCACCTTGTAGCTTTTGCCGCCGCTGGAGAAGCTCTTGCCGACAAATCCTGCCGCCGTGATGGTCTTTTCCATGGTGTCCATCATCTCGTTGCAGGGATCCGAGGCGCATTCCTCGTAGTCGTAGCGGGTAAAATAGTTGCGGCCGTAGGTGGACCAGTGCTGCTTAAGGATATCCTCGATTCCCTTGCCCGTGTGCTGCATTACCGAGATCCAGGCGAGGACTGCCCAGATGCCATCCTTTTCGCGGATGTGATTGGAGCCGGTGCCGAAGCTCTCCTCGCCGCACAGACACAGGCGTCCGGCATCCATGAGATTACCAAAGTACTTCCACCCCGTGGGCACCTCGAAGACCTCCTTGCCGAGCTTCTTGCCCACGAGATCCACAGCCGAAGCGGTGGGCATGCTGCGAGCGAATCCCTGGACGCCGTTCTTCTGGAAGTACGGAATGGCCTCCAGGTAATGGGCAATCACGGCCAGCGAGTCGCTAGGTGTCACGAAGAAAGCCTTGTGGCCGATGATCATGTTGCGATCGCCATCACCGTCGAAGGCGGCTCCTATATCGTAGTCACCCTGAGCGACTGTATCAACCAGATCCTTGGCGTAGGTCAGATTCGGATCGGGGTGCAGTCCCCCAAAGTCTGGCAGTGGAGTGGTGTGGACCACGCAGGACTCGCTGGCACCCAAGCTTTTCAGAAAGATTTCCTTCACGTAGGGCCCGGTGACACCGTTCATTGCATCAATCCTCATCTTCAGAGGCTTGCCCGTGACCTTGCCGCTGACAAACTCCTTGAGTTTGCCCATGTCAAAGATCTCTTCCATGAGGCGCAGATAGTCGGCCACCGAATCGATGACGTTCACGGTGAAGGGCTTGCCGGCAATGTCGAAGTTGCTCACGCCCACCTTGGCGATGTCGATCTGCAGGCCACGCACCAGCTTGTACTCCTTGATCTCGGTAGTCAGCTTGTGGATGCTGTTGGTAAATGCGTCCGGGGCTGGTCCACCGTTCTCGCAGTTGAACTTGATGCCGAAATCGTTCTCGGGGCCGCCCGGATTGTGGGAAGCAGTCAAGACAATGCCACCTAAAGGGTTCGGGAGATACGGATCCATTTCATTAATTGACCTGAGAGACCTCTGGCAGATCACATCGCGACAAATAGATGAATAGATGATACGTGGTGGCTGTTATCAGCAAAGCTCTTTTGCATTTACGGCCACAGTGAAGCCCATACCTGATGCACTTACTCACCTAAGGCCTTGTTGTGACGAATCAGGCTGGACACCGCCGGAGTGGAGAGGATGCCGTTTTGGCCAACCAGCAACTTGGACACGCCGTTGGCAGCCGCGATTCGGACAATCAGCTCCGCAGCTTCTTTGCAGTAGTAGCGCCCATCGCCACCCACGACCAGAGTGGAGCCAGCGAGGGCAGCTCCATTGGCGGACAGAGTGGCCTGGACAAAGTTTTCCGTGTAGTTGGGCTGCACGAAAACCTTCACCTGTGGGCGGAGGAGCAGAATGGGACGATTCGAGAGACCCGAGATGATTTTCTTGAATTTAGTTTTCGACCTTTTTGCGCAATCCACTGGTGCCTGGCTTCTGGCCCTCGTAGGGCGTAGTTTGGACCGTTTCCGCGCTGAGAGACATGCTGCTAACCACTGGAGTTTTCCGGCTGCTGGTAGATTTCCAACTGGACGACCGACCTGCGTTTGCGTGCGATGAAAATTGAGTGTCAGGCAGAGCTAAGCAAATTCTACTCCCGCTGATAAGCGAGCGCGATGTTCTGGCGGCTCGGCTGCGACGGCACTGATAAGCGCTATCACCAGTGCGTGATGCCCCTCAGACTTTACCAGTGCTTAAGGGGTAAGTATCGAGGGGTTTCCTTGATCATTCATTTGATGATCAATGCATTAACTTCGTTAAGTGGTTTGGATCATCATTATTTATCATAATTTAATCAACATGACTGGTGTAACGCATGTGGCGGCTGTGTTTGGTGTAGGGTGCAATGTCATTCAAGGGCATTCTTATTTAGATGCCGGCTAACGAAAGTCTTGACTGAAAAGTATGTTAATAGTACAAGCGCTCGGGCTGCGGAAAGCGATAACAAATGATCAAACAAATACTTAATAGATCCAGCCAAATCAACAAAAATAAGTTTACATTTGTTTAGGTTATTTTGAAATAACATACATAGAATGGCTCTGTTGGTTAACAGACCAGAGCTGCATGAGCAAGCTACTGCAATCGATATACGTAAATGGTATCGATTTGTACTGACAGTTTGAACAATACAAATAATGTGTTCAGAAACGTGCACATATTTAAATTGTTATATGCAGCGAGGTTTTGTTAAAGTTCCGTCTTACATATGTACTAAAATTGCCAGAAGAAAGAAAACTAAAATAACTGTTAGCATTCCAAGATTAGTTATTTCTATTCACGCTTTTCAGAAAAATTATTTATGAAAGGCCTGTGTGTTTCGAACATTATTGTATAGAAGCTCTTTTGAAGTTTTGAACGATGTGCTACAATTTTCCGCAACTAATTGGCCCTGCTTGGGAAAATGCCGAATGATTTTACTCTGAGATTCTGTGGTTTCGTTTTCCTTAGACTTATTTTTCCAAATTATAGCGATTTGGCGACAGTTGGAAATATTTTTAGATTGAATATTGGACAGTTCCACAAACCTAGAACTAAGTGTGAATGTTCCTCCCAAAAAAGACAATTTTATAGCCAAATTACAAGAACTATAATGAGCTAACAAGTGTGCCAATACTTTTGTACGCCTTGTTTTACAGCTTTTTTCGTTGAAAAAATTTTCCATAACAGCGCAACAAAATGATGCTAATAATAATGAGTTAATCTTATAGAAAATAAATTAATCGGATACAATTATAATTCGTTTATAATAAAGGTATAGAAAACACAATTAACCCCTTCGCAGTTTATAGCACCGCGCCGTTATTTGAGTGAATATGGCTTGATGTCGCCGTCTTGTGAAAACTAAGAAAGGGAAACCCCAAAAACATGCCCATGAACATACAAAACAATACCTACAAAAGAGAGGAGTGAAGGGTACATTGTCATAATACGATGACATACCATACCTTCTTACGAGTGTACCCTGGACAAGAGCAAACAAAAATGTGCATACGTTTTCATTCTCCAATTCTTTATGTTGCTAAAATTACATTAATTGATAACATACCAAAAAACATTCATACCAAAAAAAATTATTACAGAATCAATGGTAATTTTAATTGATTTAAACAATGTAAGAACGGAATTATATATAAATTGAATCGATGTTTAGCTAAGATACCGATAGATCGATATAATCAAGCGGTACCAACTTCATTTGAAAGCGACGGAAGAGACAAGCTCTGCCCATAAATTGTTAATAAAGAGGAAATATTGTGAGTTTATAAAACAAAAATAACACAAATATAGATATTATCCATTCCATACACAGACATCTAGAAACGAAAATGAGCACCCAGGTAAACGAAGCATCTTCCCCCGGTACCACGAAGGGTACCAATACCGACGACATCGATGTGGTCGATCGCGTGGGGCTGGACATGGGTCGCCTCTGCATGAACGACCTCTATTCGGACGTGGAGTTCTTGGTAGAGGAACAGCGGCTCCCGGCCCACCGAAACATTCTAGCGGTCCGCAGTGAATACTTTCGCGCCATGCTGTACGGTGACATGGCTGAATCGAAGCAGCGGGAAATTCGGCTGAATGTGCCGGTGGATGCATTTAAAAAAATTCTGGGCTATATTTACACGGGCACGCTGCCTCTTTCCAAACTGGACGTGGATCAAATTCTAGATCTGCTAAATTTGGTCCACTTTTTCGGATTGCAGAACGTCGAGGCGGCCATAGAGAAAAATCTGCAGCAGAATGCTTCCCTCAGCAACATCTGCAAGATCCTGAATGCAGCGCACCGATACAGTATGAACGGCCTGCGCAAAAACTGCCTAAACTTTATGGACTGCAAGGCGTCGGATGTGCTCAACCATGCTTCTTTTGAAATGCTGTCTAAGGAATTACTTGAGGAAGTTGTGCGACGGGACACCTTCGTTGCCCCCGAAGTTGAAATCTTTCGGACTGTATGCAAATGGAATCAGCTCAATCCCAGCGCGGACATCAAGACCGTGATCTCGCACATACGTCTACCGCTTATGACTGTTTCTGAGCTTCTGCATGTGGTGCGTCCCACTGGCATTTTCGAGCTGGACCAAATATTGGACGCCATTGATCAAGTGCATACCAGAAAGAATCTGCACTACCGTTGCGTCAAGTTACCTGGGGAGAAATTGCCATTAAAAACGTTTACAAAATATGTTTATGACCACGTGACAAAGATCCCCAAGTTTTCCCTTATCAACTGTATTACCGTGACTGTTTCTGGTGGAGCTGAATTTACAGTATTTGTCTCAAATGACGATGAAGTCTGGGATGAAGTGGGAGTCTACGCTTTGAAATCCAACGTCACGAAGGATATCCACTTCACGGAGCGTTGCGTTCGCTACATTTCTATAGAGATATTAAAACCAAACCAGAATGAAAATTATATTATAAAGGTTATTCCCAAGTACAATGTGTAGCGCTGTGACTGTATTAGCAGCGACTCTTACAGTGAGGATTCCCGTTCTGGCTTCCTTTTAAATATGCGTAATTTCTTATTATAATTAAGTTCAGTAAAAAAAAAAATGTAAAATACGGCAGCATATACTCATTGTGCCCACATTGCATCAGCGTTTTCATATATACTTATACTTATATATAAGTGTTTTCATTTTATACGGGGAACGGGGAATAGAGGGAGTGGTCTAGAGTGAGACAGACAGAAATAACGTTACGGCAGACTTTCAGGCAGGCTTTGTTATAATTATGAATTGTTATTAATCATGTAATGTGATTTTAGCATTCGTCCCTTTTTTTACCAAGGCCCATGCTTTGAATGCAGAAACTACACATAGCCCCAAATGTTAATGAATATGTAATTAAAAATGGATCTCCTGGTACAATACCATTCAATACCGTTATTATGAAAAACGAACTTTGGGTGTTGAGAATGGGGTTATTTGTTCTGAAAAAATTCTCCAAGAAGATGAATACTGGGCATTGCTGGCACTCAGAAGAAAGTATCTCTAAAACAAGACTTCATCAGTCTCTTTCGGTGTCGAAAAAACGTTCATCACTTAATTTTTTTTTTATAGCTGGATACAAAAAGGTTCCATTAGATGTAAGGAAATGTTTGCAAGGCAAATACCTCGTGATACGATAACCCATCCGAAATGGATGGTTAAAAAATGTGCTGAGTGGGGCTATTAGTCAGAGCTCTGATTGTGGAGGCTGGTTTGCCTCAATTCTACAACAACTTCTGACCAACTTCGGCTCCCCTTCGAGAAATCCTGGCTACGCCCTTTTCCTGTTTAATATAATTTATTTAATCTCAAAAGATTTATAAAACCTCATGGCCAAACGAATCCAGGCAAGGATGTAAGAACACAAGCGAAAACGGCTTGGTTAATTCTATATTGTTATCTTTTTATACCCGGTACTCGACCGGTAAAGTTTTGCCACGGCCACTTCAAACTGCACAAAAGACGAAAATCTGTGGCATCCATAATTTTGAGGATACGAGAAAACCGAAAACACAGAATCATAAAATAAATATATACCAGATTGCCGAATTTAGCATAGATCACATCATTAATATGGCCAGAAAGAACAAGGCAAATAAAGTTGCAGTGGCAAAGCAGCGCCTTCCACGCGCTTACTCATTCTATCTCTCTCTTTCTCATATACTCTCTCACACTCTTTCTCGTGCAGTGTGCGTCCTCTCGAGCGGAGGGAAGGGATATAGAATGGTAGTAGAAAAAATGAACAAAAATGGCAACAGATAAAAAATATCTGAAATTCGAATAAATTATTATTTTTGCGAACAGGATACCACCAAACAGAAAGAGAGAACATGCATGCCAATTCCGGCGCCTACGTGTAATTAAGTATTAAATATTTTGGATAGGTTATATAAATCATAAGATTAAGAACATATGTACATATGTATGTATATACTGGTAGGTATAATTGTCCCCTTGTTCCGTCTCTCTTTTATTTGTACCTTCCATCTCTCTATCATCGACAACGACGATACTCCTTTCTTTTATGGTAGAAGTGGATGTGTGTAACATCCAGAAGGAAGCGTTTCCGACCCCATGTCTAAGTCTAAGTTTGTTCGTCTGTCCATCCGTTCCGATGAGAGCCTAAATATCAGAGACTACAAAAGCTAGAGCAATACAATTTTGGGAGCAGACTCTTCTGATATCACACTTTCCAGTAGAAAGCACTCTGTTCACCACGCCACGCCATAAGTCACAAAAACCCAAACCCCTACACATCATCTTGAACTTTTGGTTCAAAGTTTAATAAATGTAAATGCTTGTGTATGCACAACATAATTAGACTTTCATGTCTTGTGGCTGTTTGAACCTATCGGCCATATACTCGTAAGTCAGTTTCAAGAGATTCTGGAACGACTTGTTCTGCGGCAGGTCGTCCAGTTCTGTGCTCTCCAGGAATTCCTCCATGGGTGGCAGAAAATTGTTGCCTTCCTGGCCCTTCACCTGTGAGATTGCAATGATTTTGAAGAATAGTAGCTTCTGCATGCATTCCACGGCATTATTGGGATCATAGATCCAGTTGTCGCGGCGTATGGCCGCACACCAGATCTTGTGGCGCAGATCGTAGGGCTGTTCCACAAAGCTCAGCAGCTCCAAGGCCTTGCCAAACTCTACGTCGGTGGCACTTTTGTTTTCATCGGCGATGTATAGCTGTGGATTATTGAATAATATTAAATAATGTACGACACTATGGACTTACGACACTACGACTTACATCGATAATATCCTCAGCTTTGAGAACTTTCTGTTCTACTGGGTCGAGGCCAAAGTTTTGCAGTACGTCATGGCTCAACTGCAGCTGATACTCGATGAGCCTTAGATCAGCATTGATCTTCTCCATCTGCGACGTCAGGTCGGTGTCGGGCGCCGCAAAAGCAGCCAGCTTGGCCAGAGACAACATTGTCTTTTTGCGCGCCACAATCTCCTTCTCGTTTTGCGCCAGCTCGTACAGCACCTTTGCCGCCTGCTCGTAGTCGCCGTTGAATATCAGCTGAATCCAGACCAGCGATGGATGGTAACGCATGAATTGTGCCAACGCTACCGGGTTGTCCTTGAAGCGCTCGAATACCTCGCCATGTCGCTTCTGCCGCAGATACCATCTGATGGCAAACTGCGAGAAGTCAAACTCCTCGTATTTGCGCATGTAATCATCCAAACGTTCTTTGTCATTCGTCACGTCGCATATTAGCACTAGACTATGAAAGTCCAGATACTTTTCAGCCAACTTAGCGGCATACTCGTACTTAAGATCCTTGACTGGAAAGGGAATGAATATGAAATACGCCCCAGTTATACTGAAAACCTACTTACTTAGGACTGAGATGAGTTCCCTGCGCTGTACCTCAAACTGCCGCTGCAATAGATTAGCCTTCTCCGATCCTCGAACACTATCCAAGTAGATCTTGCGTCCCTCAAGCACCAAGTCCACTAGCTCGTATATTTGCTGGTACAACTTCTGGCTTAGCTCCGTCTCACTGATGCACTGGGAACCATAGCGCAGGCTGAGGTCTATAAGTCGGTTGAGAGTGTCCCGCACACCAGCACTTCCCGACATGGCCGTCCAGGGAAGGTTTTCGCAGGCGGCCAGTCGGTCATTGTGCGGTGTGAAGTGGTTCGCCTGCTGCTCACGATGCATAAACACCTGGCCCAGTGTATCCAGGACGATGGAATTGGTATCGTTGAGAAATTGGGCCACCATTACCGTGGTATCTCTCTGAGCTGAAATCTGATTGTCAGCCATTTCGGCTAGGGCTTTAAATACAAACTGGAATTTGCACAGTTTCACATAGAATATATCCTGGGTGGTTAAGTTGCCATTGGGCTTCTCATCCCACATGGCGACAGTGGCATCGATGGCATGCTCGATGATTTTTGGTTGTTTGGCCTGCAAGGAACGGAGTGCCATGGCAGCCACTATTTTCTCGCTAATATCGGACAATATAAAACTGGTCGGCTTCAGCACATTACTACCACAGGGTATGGCATTGAGCTGAAAAGAATGACGCAAGATAAATTCAAAAAAATAGGAATAAGAAGAGCAATAATACTCACCTTCTCCCAAACGCCGCTGGCATGAAGAAATGAGACAAAGTGATCGAAGGCAAGGGTTTTGTCACGTAGCTGATTGATTATTTGCATGGAGCGTGAGCTCCCCAACGCATGACGATTGCCATCGTGATCGCCCAGGGCCTCCTCCCAGCGTGGATCGGCGATTGGAAGATCCTCGGCCAAGTCCTCCGCTATTGTGATGACAATTCTTATGGAAATGGAAGTATCTGATAGCTTATAGTATTTTAGTAAAAATTCAAGTGTCCATACCTATCCAACTTGTAGGCATCCAAGGGTGCACTACATTGATCGGGCTCATTGACAGTGCGCAGAAGCTCCCCGATAATGGTCTTCACCATGCTGTTATTACGCTTCAGGTGGTACACGAAGGCAGCCTTTAACTGGCCCACTTTGTCACGTCGATCGCTGTATAGCTCATCCGGATCCAGTTCGAACATGTGCAGATTGTTTCTGCTGTCAGTTACTGCGGTCAGTGCAGACTGATCGGGTGCACTGAAACTACCGAGCATAGCTGGTTTAAACAGATCTGGTGTATTGCCGGTGCTCATATTATGCAGCTCGTTGGCATCAAAGTCGCCGGGCGTGATGGAAACCAGTCCGTGTGTGCGGCTAAAGAACAGCGGCAGGCGACTGTAGACGGCGGCACATAGGATTCGATCGTCGTGCAAATGAAATTCAATCTTCTCCGCCTCAATCTCGGCTGTGGGTACGGCGTTTGCCAAGAGCAACGGATAGACCACCTTTGGGGTGTAGAGGTAGATGTGGCTGCTCCCTATTATGAAGCGAAGGCTGAAGCAATCCTCTTTGGTCTTGGCGTTGTAGAATTTATTCAACTTAAGGGGTGTGAATGACTCCAGAAGTATGCTGTTCGCTTGGACACTGGCCACAGCTAGAAATAGTATTAAGTATTGTTCATGTTGAATGACAAATTCAATACTTACCAACGGCATAGCACATCTGTGGAGCGTGGGCAGCGTTAACAGCTCCAGCCAATATGTAAGCCTTGTCATCAACGATATGAAAGTCCAGCAGATGCAACTCGATTTCCACATTGTCCGCGGGAGTACGGAGATTCCAGAACATTTTCTTAAACTCCTCGCGAATCCGGAGCACCACCTCTTCATCCTCGTGGAGTAAATGTTCTGTATTCCCTTTGCTCGGCAAACTCCAGCGTTGGATCGAACGATCCGAGAGCACAGTCACCACGGTTTCACTTTCAGGAGAATTTCTCTCGCAGCACATGCCAACCAAGAGCTGGAAAATATATTTTATATTATTTGAGGAACCTTTTTAAATGGAAATGCAAGCCTCACCGGATCCTTGTCGCTGCCAAAGCCACCAAGCAAACTGGTGGCCGGCTTTATGGTCTTGTGGTGCAACGAGTATCGGCCGTTGGTGAGGCCTACGCTGAGAAATACCAAAGTGCAAGTTGAGGTCACAGCAAGGTAGCCCTCTTGCAATGGTAGATTTATAATCTGAACGAAGTCCTGACCTGTTAGGATCGGTAGATTCACGGTATTCCCGTCGTGGGCAATAGATGGCCAATAGCGCACATCTCCCGTTGCAGAAACTGCTATGCAGGATGCCATTTGCTGGCCGTCTGTCTGGAATACACTAATCAACTCACTGTTGTACCCCAAGTCGGAGTAGGGCAGTTGTAGTTCGCGGCATTGAGGGAAGCCACCTTCCCGTGTAGGGTTCTTGGCATCCTTGGACGACTCTTTGTACTGCCAAATTAGTAGTCGGCGGCCGTGCACAACCTGAAAAAGGGCGGAAATTTAATTCCAGACCAAATCATTTTTCGACCCGTGCTTATACTCGTACCCAAGCCAAACCATTTTGGGCAACCTTCGCAGAAACCGTTCCTGCAGCAGATCCCACAGAGGTCAAGGCCTCGTTCACTACGACGGGCAGGGGGAAACCAAAGCACTTCACAACATTGTAGCCCGACCGGATGCCGGGTATAGATTGGGAGGATCGCCCCGAAAAACTATGCCGGCTGTTGGGAACAAGTGTTTTAAATCATCTTTTAATAAGCGAGACACTCCTGTTACTAACCTGTTGTGTAGGGCAGTTTTATTCAAGCTCCCTGAAAGTGGAAAGCAGTTCGAGCTCTCGCCAAAAAAAGATGGCGATGACTCCCGCGGAAATTCGTTTTCCTGTTTTTTCATGATTATTTCCTTTAAATTTTTCAATATTATTACAATGGCTACTATGAGTATTATACCAGTGACAGAGACCACAGTTATTTTTTGTTTTTCTCACGATCGACGGCTTGTAGAGAGAGAAAGAAAAAGTTCAAAATTTTCTTATCGATAAAATATACCGAAATATATCGTGTCGTTTTAAATATACCAATAAAAGACAGAACTTAGCTCACTTAACCCCCCTTTATTGAAACAGAATACCAACTTGAGCTAAAGCTTTTAATATATAATAAAAATTCAAACAAAAATACAAATTCTTCATGTAGATCCATCCTAGTATTTAAGCCCCGAAAAGGGAGCGCGTTGTCGCAATACACCACCTTGTAAAATTTCATAATGGGCAGCTTATGACGCGACGCGAGCCTGGGAAGCAATATAGCAAATTTGTTTGGTACATTTTCTTTGTATGAACTGACACCAATATACTGTATTACTAGTGGCGGACAGATTGGACATATTAAACTACACTTCATTTGAATTAAAGAGTGCGAGACAAGCAAGAAAACCCATTGGGAAAAGCATGCAGTGAGAGTGGGATGCTCTATGCTCTAAAATTCAAAATAAAACGCCGATAGCTGTCGCACAAAAATACCTCTGTTTTCTTAATTTCCCACGGTCATACTGGCTGTTCCGAAGTTTGACAGCCGAGTGCCCGTTCCGCGTTCCACTTCCACGTCACGAACCGTCAATCGAGAAAGCAGTCGCGTCGCTCTTTTAAATAAAGAAATAACTAATATCCAAGTAAGTTGATAGATGATGAAAAAGGACAATCCCGCTGATGTCTCGTAGTGTTTGTGTTTGTGTGATAGAACAGCACAACAACATCGAGAGATGCTGCCCTTTGTGGCTTCCCTTCCCATTACAGTGGCTGCCCTTCCACGTCAACAAAAAAGTGAAACGTTCAAACATTTTCTCCTCTCTTGCAGTATGTTCAAACAAATCATCGCCCTGTGCGCGCTGTTTGCGGTGTTTAGCGTTTGCTTGTCCGAGGACGAGACACGTGCCCGCCTTCTGGTGTCAAAGCAGATTCTGAACAAATACCTGGTGGAAAAGAGCGATCTGCTGGTGCGCTATACCATCTTCAATGTGGGCAATGGTGCTGCCACCAACGTCGCTCTGGTAGATAATGGCTTCCATCCGGAGGCATTCGAGGTGGTTGGTGGCCAGCCCACCGCGACCGTGGAGCGGATTGCCCCCCAGACCAACTTCACCCATGTGGTGGTGGTGCGCCCCAAGGCCTTCGGCTACTTCAACTTCACAGCCGCCGAGGTGTCTTACAAGCCCGTCGAGGAAGCTGAGGCGGTAAGTCACTGATTTCTTTAGTCGCCTACTTGGTCTAAGGATTCATGTGCTTTCAGCTCCAACTGGCCATCAGCTCGGAGCCCGGTGAGGGTGGCATTGTCAACCTTAACGAGTACAACAAGCGCTTCTCATCCCACTTCTTCGACTGGGTGGCCTTCGCCGTCATGACCCTGCCTTCCCTGGCCATCCCCCTTGGCCTGTGGCACCAGTCCAAGAGCAAATACGAACGCGCTGGCAAGAACAAGAAGCACTAAGCCTGGACGCTAGTCTCTTGTATTGAACAACATTCTCGTTTTGCGCCAGCTCGTACAGCACCTTTGCCGCCTGCTCGTAGTCGCCGTTGAATATCAGCTGAATCCAGATCAGCGATGGATGGTCACGCATGAATTGTGCCAGCGCTACCGGGTTGTCCTTGAAGCGCTCGAATACCTCGCCATGTCGCTTCTGCCGCAGATACCATCTGATGGCAAACTGCGAGAAGTCAAACTCCTCGTATTTGCGCATGTAATCATCCAAACGTTCTTTGTCATTCGTCACGTCGCATATTAGCACTAGACTATGAAAGTCCAGATACTTTTCAGCCAACTTAGCGGCATACTCGTACTTAAGATCCTTGACTGGAAAGGGAATGAATATGAAATACGCCCCAGTTATACTGAAAACCTACTTACTTAGGACTGAGATGAGTTCCCTGCGCTGTACCTCAAACTGCCGCTGCAATAGATTAGCCTTCTCCGATCCTCGAACACTATCCAAGTAGATCTTGCGTCCCTCAAGCACCAAGTCCACTAGCTCGTATATTTGCTGGTACAACTTCTGGCTTAGCTCCGTCTCACTGATGCACTGGGAACCATAGCGCAGGCTGAGGTCTATAAGTCGGTTGAGAGTGTCCCGCACACCAGCACTTCCCGACATGGCCGTCCAGGGAAGGTTTTCGCAGGCGGCCAGTCGGTCATTGTGCGGTATGAAGTGGTTCGCCTGCTGCTCACGATGCATAAACACCTGGCCCAGTGTATCCAGGACGATGGAATTGGTATCGTTGAGAAATTGGGCCACCATTACCGTGGTATCTCTCTGAGCTGAAATCTGATGGTCAGCCATTTCGGCTAGGGCTTTAAATACAAACTGGAATTTGCACAGTTTCACATAGAATATATCCTGGGTGGTTATGTTGCCATTGGGCTTCTCATCCCACATGGCGACAGTGGCATCGATGGCATGCTCGATGATTTTTGGTTGTTTGGCCTGCAAGGAACGGAGTGCCATGGCAGCCACTATTTTCTCGCTAATATCGGACAATATAAAACTGGTCGGCTTCAGCACATTACTACCACAGGGTATGGCATTGAGCTGAAAAGAATGACGCAAGATAAATTCAAAAAAATAGGAATAAGAAGAGCAATAATACTCACCTTCTCCCAAACGCCGCTGGCATGAAGAAATGAGACAAAGTGATCGAAGGCAAGGGTTTTGTCACGTAGCTGATTGATTATTTGCATGGAGCGTGAGCTCCCCAACGCATGACGATTGCCATCGTGATCGCCCAGGGCCTCCTCCCAGCGTGGATCGGCGATTGGAAGATCCTCGGCCAAGTCCTCCGCTATTGTGATGACAATTCTTATGGAAATGGAAGTATCTGATAGCTTATAGTATTTTAGTAAAAATTCAAGTGTCCATACCTATCCAACTTGTAGGCATCCAAGGGTGCACTACATTGATCGGGCTCATTGACAGTGCGCAGAAGCTCCCCGATAATGGTCTTCACCATGCTGTTATTACGCTTCAGGTGGTACACGAAGGCAGCCTTTAACTGGCCCACTTTGTCACGTCGATCGCTGTATAGCTCATCCGGATCCAGTTCGAACATGTGCAGATTGTTTCTGCTGTCAGTTACTGCGGTCAGTGCAGACTGATCGGGTGCACTGAAACTACCGAGCATAGCTGGTTTAAACAGATCTGGTGTATTGCCGGTGCTCATATTATGCAGCTCGTTGGCATCAAAGTCGCCGGGCGTGATGGAAACCAGTCCGTGTGTGCGGCTAAAGAACAGCGGCAGGCGACTGTAGACGGCGGCACATAGGATTCGATCGTCGTGCAAATGAAATTCAATCTTCTCCGCCTCAATCTCGGCTGTGGGTACGGCGTTTGCCAAGAGCAACGGATAGACCACCTTTGGGGTGTAGAGGTAGATGTGGCTGCTCCCTATTATGAAGCGAAGGCTGAAGCAATCCTCTTTGGTCTTGGCGTTGTAGAATTTATTCAACTTAAGGGGTGTGAATGACTCCAGAAGTATGCTGTTCGCTTGGACACTGGCCACAGCTAGAAATAGTATTAAGTATTGTTCATGTTGAATGACAAATTCAATACTTACCAACGGCATAGCACATCTGTGGAGCGTGGGCAGCGTTAACAGCTCCAGCCAATATGTAAGCCTTGTCATCAACGATATGAAAGTCCAGCAGATGCAACTCGATTTCCACATTGTCCGCGGGAGTACGGAGATTCCAGAACATTTTCTTAAACTCCTCGCGAATCCGGAGCACCACCTCTTCATCCTCGTGGAGTAAATGTTCTGTATTCCCTTTGCTCGGCAAACTCCAGCGTTGGATCGAACGATCCGAGAGCACAGTCACCACGGTTTCACTTTCAGGAGAATTTCTCTCGCAGCACATGCCAACCAAGAGCTGGAAAATATATTTTATATTATTTGAGGAACCTTTTTAAATGGAAATGCAAGCCTCACCGGATCCTTGTCGCTGCCAAAGCCACCAAGCAAACTGGTGGCCGGCTTTATGGTCTTGTGGTGCAACGAGTATCGGCCGTTGGTGAGGCCTACGCTGAGAAATACCAAAGTGCAAGTTGAGGTCACAGCAAGGTAGCCCTCTTGCAATGGTAGATTTATAATCTGAACGAAGTCCTGACCTGTTAGGATCGGTAGATTCACGGTATTCCCGTCGTGGGCAATAGATGGCCAATAGCGCACATCTCCCGTTGCAGAAACTGCTATGCAGGATGCCATTTGCTGGCCGTCTGTCTGGAATACACTAATCAACTCACTGTTGTACCCCAAGTCGGAGTAGGGCAGTTGTAGTTCGCGGCATTGAGGGAAGCCACCTTCCCGTGTAGGGTTCTTGGCATCCTTGGACGACTCTTTGTACTGCCAAATTAGTAGTCGGCGGCCGTGCACAACCTGAAAAAGGGCGGAAATTTAATTCCAGACCAAATCATTTTTCGACCCGTGCTTATACTCGTACCCAAGCCAAACCATTTTGGGCAACCTTCGCAGAAACCGTTCCTGCAGCAGATCCCACAGAGGTCAAGGCCTCGTTCACTACGACGGGCAGGGGGAAACCAAAGCACTTCACAACATTGTAGCCCGACCGGATGCCGGGTATAGATTGGGAGGATCGCCCCGAAAAACTATGCCGGCTGTTGGGAACAAGTGTTTTAAATCATCTTTTAATAAGCGAGACACTCCTGTTACTAACCTGTTGTGTAGGGCAGTTTTATTCAAGCTCCCTGAAAGTGGAAAGCAGTTCGAGCTCTCGCCAAAAAAAGATGGCGATGACTCCCGCGGAAATTCGTTTTCCTGTTTTTTCATGATTATTTCCTTTAAATTTTTCAATATTATTACAATGGCTACTATGAGTATTATACCAGTGACAGAGACCACAGTTATTTTTTGTTTTTCTCACGATCGACGGCTTGTAGAGAGAGAAAGAAAAAGTTCAAAATTTTCTTATCGATAAAATATACCGAAATATATCGTGTCGTTTTAAATATACCAATAAAAGACAGAACTTAGCTCACTTAACCCCCCTTTATTGAAACAGAATACCAACTTGAGCTAAAGCTTTTAATATATAATAAAAATTCAAACAAAAATACAAATTCTTCATGTAGATCCATCCTAGTATTTAAGCCCCGAAAAGGGAGCGCGTTGTCGCAATACACCACCTTGTAAAATTTCATAATGGGCAGCTTATGACGCGACGCGAGCCTGGGAAGCAATATAGCAAATTTGTTTGGTACATTTTCTTTGTATGAACTGACACCAATATACTGTATTACTAGTGGCGGACAGATTGGACATATTAAACTACACTTCATTTGAATTAAAGAGTGCGAGACAAGCAAGAAAACCCATTGGGAAAAGCATGCAGTGAGAGTGGGATGCTCTATGCTCTAAAATTCAAAATAAAACGCCGATAGCTGTCGCACAAAAATACCTCTGTTTTCTTAATTTCCCACGGTCATACTGGCTGTTCCGAAGTTTGACAGCCGAGTGCCCGTTCCGCGTTCCACTTCCACGTCACGAACCGTCAATCGAGAAAGCAGTCGCGTCGCTCTTTTAAATAAAGAAATAACTAATATCCAAGTAAGTTGATAGATGATGAAAAAGGACAATCCCGCTGATGTCTCGTAGTGTTTGTGTTTGTGTGATAGAACAGCACAACAACATCGAGAGATGCTGCCCTTTGTGGCTTCCCTTCCCATTACAGTGGCTGCCCTTCCACGTCAACAAAAAAGTGAAACGTTCAAACATTTTCTCCTCTCTTGCAGTATGTTCAAACAAATCATCGCCCTGTGCGCGCTGTTTGCGGTGTTTAGCGTTTGCTTGTCCGAGGACGAGACACGTGCCCGCCTTCTGGTGTCAAAGCAGATTCTGAACAAATACCTGGTGGAAAAGAGCGATCTGCTGGTGCGCTATACCATCTTCAATGTGGGCAATGGTGCTGCCACCAACGTCGCTCTGGTAGATAATGGCTTCCATCCGGAGGCATTCGAGGTGGTTGGTGGCCAGCCCACCGCGACCGTGGAGCGGATTGCCCCCCAGACCAACTTCACCCATGTGGTGGTGGTGCGCCCCAAGGCCTTCGGCTACTTCAACTTCACAGCCGCCGAGGTGTCTTACAAGCCCGTCGAGGAAGCTGAGGCGGTAAGTCACTGATTTCTTTAGTCGCCTACTTGGTCTAAGGATTCATGTGCTTTCAGCTCCAACTGGCCATCAGCTCGGAGCCCGGTGAGGGTGGCATTGTCAACCTTAACGAGTACAACAAGCGCTTCTCATCCCACTTCTTCGACTGGGTGGCCTTCGCCGTCATGACCCTGCCTTCCCTGGCCATCCCCCTTGGCCTGTGGCACCAGTCCAAGAGCAAATACGAACGCGCTGGCAAGAACAAGAAGCACTAAGCCTGGACGCTAGTCTCTTGTATTGAACAACATTTAAAGAGATTTTTTTTTGAACACCCATTACAATTCCGTACTATATTGTTGCTTTAACCTCCAATCGATTCCATTTGCATGCGCTTATCCATCCTACCACACATTAGTTTGGAATTGTTTCTGGGGGGGAAAAGGCGTTAAATCGTTTTAGATTTGATTCGAAGGCGCATTGAAAGGAACAAGAATAAAACTAAACCATCAAGAGATAAGCTATTTTCGTGTCATTAGACTGGTTTTCTAAATAAATTAAATCAAATTTATATTATGTACACTGCTTATTCACTAACAGCTTCATGATAGCAAAAACTTTCGCCCGAAGATCTCGGCCTTTTTCTCGAACATTGGCGACTTGATGACCGTGTTGATCTTGTAGAAGGCGTTCATGGAATGCTTAATATACGTATCATACATCTCGTTGAAGAAACTCTTGATGCCCTCATCGTTCTTGTTGTCGTGCACAATGATGAAGCGTATCTGGCTGGCGGTGATGAAGGCGGAGACGAACCATTGATTGAAGCGGTCGATGGACTTCAGCTGCATATTTGCCGTTTTCCATTTGTGCTCGTCCACCAGGTCCAAGGCAGCGTGAGCAATGAACTGGCTCAGGTGTCTGTGGTCCTCTTTCTGCAATGCAAAAGAGAGGATGGAGCGTTTCAGATGGATGCCAGTATCATTTTGTGGCAATATTCTACCCTGAATTCCTTGTTGACAGTGCTAAACTCCTTTTCGTAGATGGGATTATCATTGTGGCCAACAATGACAAAATAATAGGTGGACATTTTATATTTCTTCAATTAAATTTTGTAATTATTTTTTTGTGTTCATTGGAACCAGTGTGACCGCAGTCTGATCTCATTTTCGAAATATACCATAAATATACCGAATAAATAAACAGGTGAAATATTTAAGTAAAACTATGTAAATTCTTCTCGTATATCGGCCACCACCTGAATTGCGCTAGAATTCCTAAAGTTTCATCATTTTAAATCCAATTCCTGGCAATTTAGCACCATTGCTTTTAAATTGCTCTATTGGGTGGCACGAAATACCAGAAGGAGTGTTTGAAAAGGCCGCACGGATGGAACGTTTTGCAACACAATTTATTCGCGCCTTTTTCCTACAGCACATTACAGTCCTTTTTTTTTGTGTCAAGAAATGCACTTAAAATGTTTAAAACATTTTAAAAAGTTGAAAAATTAAAGTGTTTAAATGTTTTAAAAGTAGAGTGTGCCCAAAGCCATCGCGACTGCGGAAGTGTGTGTGCGTGTGAAAGTGTAAAGAAATCGTTTGGTCGCAAGGTACACCATTCATTATTATTGTATTTTAGTATGCTTTGCGCATTGTTTATTGCAATTTTATAAGTTTGGCTTCTGTATTTTACCCGCTTACACACACCCAGACACCTACACACAGACCCCCACACACGCACACACTCCAAAATAGTCATGTATTAAAATCTCCAGCGAAGCAACCAAGAAAATGACTGATGTAAATTGTCTTACAAGAGAGCACATTGCAACAACAACAACGAGTGCAGCAGTAGAAGCAACAGCGGCGGAAGCTGCCGAAACCACGAGTCCGCCCAGAACTCCCACCGGAAATGGATTGCAGCAACTGGAGCTAGAGCCCACGTCCCCATTTGTGCTGCGAGCACCGCCCAGTGCCAAGTCCAAGCTCATCCTGCAGAACATGGAGGAGGTCCTCTACTCGGTGAAGAAGAAGCATCGCGAGAAGCACAAGCGGAAGCGCGAGGAGAAACGCCGTGCCGCCCTGCTGGCCGAAGCCGAAGAGAGGCCACCAGGAATGGATGTCAGGGAGTCAAAGCCCCAGCCGTTGAGAGAAAAGGTCGCCCAGGAAAACGGCCTGAAGAATGGCAAGCGGAAGTCGAGTCCCCTCAAGTGCAGCACCCCCGTGGCCGAACACCAGAGCATACTGAAGCACTTTTCCAAAGCTGGGAAGCCAGAAAATGGGGCAACAGCTCCGCCAGCCAAGGCCAAAAGTGCCACTAATGTATTCGAGTTCATGATGAATGCCAGAAACCGATCCATAGGCGTCAACGATGGTGGCAAGGATGCCTCCGAGTCCCCTGCCGATCTGGCAGAGGATCCTGCTGCAGGCACTGCGACATCCAAGCGCAAGCAATTGCTGCAGGAGTGGAACGAACGCAAGGGAGGAGCCAAACGGCGACTGCAAGAAGAAGCGAGGGAGGACTACATTGAGGAGCAAATGGACCAGAGGGCCAAGAGGTGAGATTCAGTCGGTAGACTCGTAAGAAGTTCCATCTAACTAATTAATTGAATTGTTTATGCAGATTGAAGAAAATGCTGACGACAAAGACTGAGCCAAAGGAGCTACCAGCCGCATCGTCGGCTCCTACAGTTCCCGTGAAACGAGGTCGGGGTAGGCCCCGGACACGCCGGATCAGCTTAGTGGATGTGGAGGTGGTCAGTGTGGATGCCCAGAACGCGGACACGACGGAATTCCTAGCAAAGCTCTCCTCTCCCACCAAGAAGCGGGACAGTCTGTTGGGCTACTTTCCCAAAGTGGAGTCGCCGAAAGAATTGCCCGTGACGATAGCAACCCCCCCAATGGACACACCAAAGCGGCGACCGCAGCGTAAGAAAAGCATTGTGGAGACGGTATCCATCGATGTGGAATCAACGGGTACACCTCCGGGGCGACCGCGTCGCTCTTGTGCGGGAAAGTCTCGATACGACTACGACCTGGAGACGAGCCCCGCAAAGCAAAGCAAAAGCGAGGCAGCTGCCGCAGCAAAAAAGAGCCAAAAAGCGGAGGAATCATCCATTGAGATCATTGATCTGGACAGCAGTAATCCGGTGTCCACACCAAAGAAGCTGGCGCCGCTCTTTGTCCGGCAGCTGCCTAAGCCCAGTCCGGATCCATCTGTCCTCAAGGCTCGTCAGGCATTCCTCCAATCAGGCGTGCCCGAGCAGATCAGGCAGGAGCAGAGCCGGCAGAAGAACTTTGAGCAGTACTACGAGGAGAGCTACGAGGCATTTCCCAGCATAGCCCACGTGGGCTGTGAGAGCTATGAAACGATACAGGGACCTTGTGTGGGACTTCCCTTTTCACTGAGAAAAGAAGATGACGGGGAGGTGGTGTCTCTGCCATCTGGCAAGAGGCGTTCCAAGGCAAGTAGCTTCACCAATTGCCAGGCATCGGACTGGCATCAAGCCTACAACAAGAGTACAAACAAGGTGGCATACACGACCCTGCCGCAGCTGGACAACAAGCGGGCTTTTGTGAAGCTCTGGAAGAACGAGTTCGAGCGCTTCCCCACCTTCAAGTGCTACAACCAGATGAGGGAGAAGTACCGCCACTTCAGCGCCATCGATTCCGCCCAGGACACGCAACAGATGGGCGAATCGTTTGTCGTCACCAGGCGGACACTGCGCTCGATAGAACAATTCGATCACGGCAGCACGGAGGAAGCCCAGCCCCCGCTCTCGGCCCCGAATGGAGAGCTCCTCTTCACCGAAAAGTATAAGCCACTGCTGTTTGAACAAGTCTTGGTCAATCTGACGCCAGTGCACGAGCTGCGAGAGTTCCTCTCCGGCTGGAATGGCAACGGCGGCCGTAGCTCGCAGACCTTCGACGACTCCTCCTTTGACTTTGGCAACGACTCCAGCTCGGTGGGGGCCAACAGCAACACCATGGTCCTGGTGGGCCCCTCATCGAGTGGGAAGACCAACGCTGTCATCGCCCTGGCAAACGACATGAACTTCAATGTGCTGGAGATCAATGCGGGGATGAAGCGGACGGGCAAGAAGCTCATCCAGGAGCTGCAGGAGGCCACGCAGTCGCATCAGATACGCAAGGACAGCAAGATGGGGGGTGGATCCTCCCAGCAGCTGCTGCAGAAGCTACAAAAGAGTGGCCTCAAGGCCAAGAAGCAGCAGCTACAGCAGCAACAGCAGGGGGATCCAGCGGGCGTGGAGCCTGTGCGGAAGTCGCTGATTCTCATCGAAGATGCGGACATTCTGTTCGACAACATGGACGCGGGTTTCACAGATGCCATCTACACGCTGGCGGCCAGCTCGAAGCGGCCCGTGGTGGTGGTGGCCTCCGACCCAAACTGCGCCCATCTGCAGCGGCTGATGCAGCAGAACCAGATCCACTTCCAGGCCCCTAATGCCCTGAATATCTCACGATTCCTGGCTGTGCTGGCTCTCATGGAGAACTGTCCTATCGAGCTGGACGAGCTGATATCCCTGTATCTGTACAACCAACAGAACCTGCGCAAGACCCTCATGGAGCTGCAGTTCTACATCCAAAGTGGCGGCGACCTGAAGGGCCAGCAGTCACAGTCTTTAAAGCAGTCCCCCGGCAAATCCTCCACACGCCTGGCCACTGTGGATAGCTGTCACATACACCAGCGTCTGTTTGAGTTCTTCACTTGCTCCCAGAATGTTCAGCATCGGATTCCCTTTCCCGTGGACTTTCGTCTGCTGCGCCTGAATCTCTCCGAGCTGATGGCCACATCGCCTCTGCTTAAAGAACAGCAGCCGCCTGCCGCCGCCACTAGGGCCAATGCCAAGAGGAAGTCTCGCTCCCCGAAGAAGGCCTGGCTAAGCAGTGCCACCAGCCAGCGGAACAGCGAGGAGTGCTCTCCGCTCGCCACTCTGGCCGCCTTCTACGACAACATCTCGCTGGCCGCCCTGATGGATGCCAACCAGGACTGCTGCGATCGCCTGCAGCTGTACCTGTCGGAGGACATCTCCCATATGCTGGTGGAGCAGGCTCTCACTGGCCTGGCGGCCAAGGAGTGTGCCTACAACCTGTTCGACAAGCCAGCACAAAGGTAGGTCTTCATATAAACCAAATATGTACAGGAATGAATATAGAAATTGTTATTTTATGTTTGGATAGGGTGAGCATCGGCGAGCACCTGGGCATTGGGCAGCTGCGCTCTGCCTCCTCCAAGGCCCTCGACTATGAGCCCGTGCTGCGCTCCATTTGTCGCAGCGAGAAGGAGCGCGTGGGCCAGGAGCGCAAGTCGAGTCGTTTCTATCACTACCTCCGCAATCACACGGTAAACGTGTCTAACTTCGCCACGGATACCTTCGACTCTGCGTGCAGTGTATTCCAAGATATCTCAGCGGGGGCTGCTCCCCCAGCGGATCAGGACGACTCGGGACGAAAGGATCATTCAATAGTCTAGCATAATTGTTGGTTGAATCTGTAATTGCAATTTATTTGATCGAGGTATGCAGAGTTCTTAGATCTTCTTAGGCTTAGGCGATGGCGAGTTTTGTTTGCTTAGCTCTAAATGCGGATGGGATGAGAGAGGTCGTATCCTAGCTAAACGTTAATTACACTAATTAATTATGTTAATAAATCAATTATTTGACCTTTAACTTCCTACGTTTCTACACTATCCACTAGCAGCAACAGAGGAAGCCAGAGCTCTTCTTCATCGGTTCCGCATCGTCCGCAGGTACTGGACTGCTGACCCTCTTCTCCTTGTCCTGGTCCTTTAACGTGGGCTGCACTTGAATGGGCGCCGTCGTTGTCGTTGTCGTTGTCGGAGTTGTAGTCGCTCGAAGTTCACCAATTTTAAAGTTCTTCAAATCCTTTTCGGCATCCGACGAGTGTCCGGCTTGCCTGAAGGCCTTGCTGGCATCTTTGCCGCCGTATTCGAGCAGCAGATCCTCCCCGCCCGGATGCTCGCTCAGGAACTTGGTCACATCGTAAACGTTGCCCTTGATGATGATCCAGCAGGGCTTCCCCTTCTTGCCATTCTGCTCGGCCACCTCCGACAGTTCGTACAGCTGTGACATAATTAATAATTCGCTTATGATTGAATTCCCGATGGAACAGCCTTGTTTTTATGGCTGCTCGTAATTTAACAAGGCGTCTGCGTCTGTTTCTGTTTCTGCGCCTGATTGCGTCCGATAGCGATACGATTTATCTTGTTTCCGCTAATAGAATCTTATGAATGGAGCTCTTCTGAAGCCGCCTTCACGTTGTTGCCAGTTGAACGGACTCTCGTTCAATGGGCGCGTGGCAGGTCCGCCCTTTGCTTATGTTGAACATTTAGCCGCAATCGGTTCTTTGGTCAGATGTACTATATACATATGTTTGCTAGCGAACCCAATATCGCTCGATTGATAAGAAGTACGTGAGAATTTCACGTCCTCCAGTCCTAAAGTCTCTTGCTGTCCAATAGCTACTTACTTACTTACTTACTTGGTGTCTTCTTGCCACCCGAAAATAATGCAAATTGATTGATCATTCTGGCGTGTAGTGGTCCTCATAACTGCCACAGCAGTGATTAGGATCGGTCTTCCATCCATACATCCGCCGTACGATGATTCATGAGGTGGAACATTTTTGCTGATTTCTTAGACAGTAATTTATCTACTATTACGAAGCTTTTTCTGCGAGATAATATTTTGTGATAGCCGCACTATCACACTATGACACAGAGCTGTTCAGACCGCTTTTTATTTGTGTTGGTCATAGCCATTAGTTGGCTAAAAACACGAACAATCAATCATAGGTTTTTAATCTGCGAGGGAGTATGTAACGAAAGCATTTAGCAGATGCAATTTGAATATGAATTTTATGGAAGTAAACCATTGTCAGGTTGCAATTGGACAGGCTTTTTGTATCACTCAGCTTTTTGCGTGGATACAATTTTAATTCCATGAAAACATGGCTGACTGCAGTTTGTATGGAGCGGTTTGAATTTGAAATATTCCCGTTGACACGCAACAAATCTGCTGCACCCAGTAAACCCATTTTAAAGTAAAAACCTTGTTTTTTTTTTTTTGTGTAATTTTTTGGCTTTCAAAGTTTATATTCTAGATATATTTTGGAAATATATTTTAATTTGCTTTCGTTTTGGTTTCCCTTTCAGTTTCTGGTTTGGTTTTGTTTTTTTCTTTTATATGAGACAACAACAATAATTGGTATTCATTTAATATATATGTATTTAGATATATATATATATAGATTTATGTATCTGTGACGATTTGCTTAATGCGCTTTAAAAAATTTCGCTAGTTTTGAGTGAAAATTTTCTGCGTAGTGGATCCGATTATAACTCCGATTCGATTTCTGGATTTCTGGAAGGATATGGGATGTGGGGACTGGGTAAAGGGGGGAACTGTTTTGTGGGTGTGTGATTACATTAACATAATGGTCTCCCAGGATGCCTGCGCCATTCCTCCAGCATTTTCAGTGTATTTACAAATTAATTTCTTTGCTTTGTTTTTGTTCGTTATTTAATGTTATAATTTTTTTTTTGTTATAAATATCAGTCGACGGCTTCGCATTTTCAAAACGCAGCTCGTGTGCGTTTCCATTTGTATTCTCGATTTAAATGTACAGATACCATATATATATCAGAATTAATAAATATCTACATATATCGTATCGTACCGTACTATATATATATATCATATATATCATATAAAATGTAAAATTAATTACTTGTCAATGATTGTTGATTTGTTGTTTTGTTTGAATTAATCGATCTGTTTGAATTTTAAAAAACGTAATTCAATCAATTGATTTACTATAATTTATAATTTATAATTTATCCTTTGTCGCTTTTGTTTTTGTTTTTGTTTTCGTTTCTGTTTTTGGTTTTTCATTTGATTTATAATTAGTTCTCGTTTAGTTTTCGGCTAAACATAATTCGTATAATTCATAGACTCGATCCGATCTTCGTTTAGAATTTAATTGTTTAATTTAAAAAACAGTTTTGGAGGTAGTTGAAATTAGGCCTGTTTACGTAAATTATATTTAGTTATATATTTAAATATCATACATATATGTATATGCGTGTATATGTAGCTGATTCAGCGATTTCGTTTCGACTTCGCCTCGATATTTTAGCTGGACTCACCCTTCTTTTCCTTTCTCTTTATTAATTAGTTATTAATTAGTAAATTAATCTCTACACTTTGTTTAGTTATTCATTGTCTGCGGTTTTCTGTTCGGTTTCGTTTCGCAATACTTCGGGCTATTTTCGGCTTTCCTTCCTATATCAACTTTGATCCATAGACATCGAGATATATCGTATCGTATCGTATATATTTTTATTAAAAGTGTAGGCTTGTAGGACTTTTCGGCGTAGTAAAGTTTCTCTTTTCTCCTTTCTCTTTTTCCATTCTTTTGCATTTTTTTGTTATCATATTTTTCTAGTTTTTCCATTCGCTTTTCATCTAAATTTTCGGTTAAATGTTTGTTTTAATTTCATTAAATGGATCGTAAGTTCGTGAAACCATTTTCTTTCTTTCTTCTCTCCTCTTAATATTTCTGGGATCGTGTGGAAATTGGCTTTAATCTTATGCATATATGGGTATATACATTGGATATACTGTGGATCTTATGAGGAATTATTCAATTGGATGTCTACCATCGAAAAATGATCGAAATGTATTTGAAAGAACCGCCATGTGATCGTGGCTCTCAGCAATGCTGTGTTACGTTGTTCACATTCTACCAGTGCTAGCTGACAAAAGCTGAGTGCCAATGCTCATAGTCTTCAGAAACACGACAAAATTATCCATTTGCGTGAGTGAATACAGGTGTAAAATTGTATTTAATAATTGTGCAATCCTTAAAGGCTTCTTTAAAGGCTTTATCTGATTGAATTGAATGATTCATTTTAATGACTGTCTTGCTTTTGTTAGGCACCACCTCTATGGTGTAGTTCCAATAACCAACAATTACGCAGCTGGTGGCGCCACTGAGCTAAGGATGGACTATTTTCCAACAAAAGGAAGACAGAGCCTTATCGATACTTGATCGATCTTTACAATTTTTAAAAGCACTATCTCTTATTTGCTAAATAAGGGAAAAATCAAAGAAATAAATAAAAATTAAAACGATAATTTCTCTACAATTTGGTTTACATAGATTTCATTTCATTTTTCTCGTTTTTTTGTTGTTTTTTTTTACATTGTAATTCCGTTAGCAAATATACAAATTTCAATTGAACTAAAAATTGTTTGTGTTTGTGTGGGTGTGTGTTTTGTTTTCGTGTGTTCCAGCACATGGGCCATGCATATAATAATATAGGGTATAAGGAGGGTAGCGTACAGGGTATGTGGTATAGGGAAGAAGAGGTCAGGGTGGGGCGGGGCGGGTCGGGTCGGGTCGGTTTGGGGTGGATAGAGTATAGTTAAGAGTTGGTTGGCTTCACTAAAAACTAGAGTTATTCAAACTAAAGTGTATACTATAAGTGTATTGATCATAAAATTACAATTACATATTCACTTATATAATTTGTTATTATTTCCTTCTCTCCATCGTTTCTTCACTTCTCTCTTTTCTGCATGTCTCTATTGTGGTATGGTGTCTCTTTCAAGTTTCTTTTATTTTCATTTAGCAGGCAACAAATGGAAATGATTTTAAAATAACTAAATTAAGTTTATCGTTTGTCTGTTTCTGTGTTTCTGTGTGTTGCTGTGGGAGATGCAAGGCGGCAGCGCAGCGGGTTCTCTCCTCCTCCTCCTCTTCTATTTCTCTCTCTCTCTCTCTATCTTTCTCTACTTCTCTAGCTCAGCTTACATCTCTCCTTCTCCTCTCTCTACTCGAAATTTACAAATTAAATTCTGACTAATAAACAGTCTTTTCGTACCAGCGCAACGTTGGCGACAGACCTACACAAAATAAATCTGATCGGTTAAACTTTAACATAATGTAAGCTAACATAAAAAAAAAAAAAATATATATATATATATATATATATATATAAATACATACTATATATAATATAATTATAATAATTACATATGTATCTGTAGCTATAGAGCTATATAGATAGATAGATGTATTGTGTAACTAAGAGTTAACTTAACACGAGCTCAGTTATGAGTTGGCCGCACAGTGGCTGCAATTCCGGCTATTGCAGCTGCAATGGCAGCTCATCATGCTAGAGTTGGAATTATTGCGGCTCATTGTGGCAGGGAGCAGGGACTCTGCCACTCCTTCCGCTACTCCTCCTGCTGCTGCTGCGGCTGCTGCTGCTGTCTCGGCGGGAAGATTGAAGCTACTGCTCTTGAGGAGCTGCAGGCCAGCCCCAATGGGCACACAGACGGAGAGCGGCGGCGTGGGTATCCTTTCGGGGGTGCAGCTTCCTGTCGCTGCGGGCGTTGCCACGTAGCTGTGGTGACTGCTGCCGGCGGCTGCTGTCGTCGCACTCGGATTGGTCCCGTAGCCGCATGCCGTGCTCTTCAGCGTGGCCGCATTGGAGATGGGCAGCGTGGGCAGGGGGGCAGCGGCCAGCGAGGAGGCGGACGATGAGGTGGACACACAGGACGAGGAGGCCAGCGAGGAGGCCGAGGACGACATCGAGGCGGAGGAGGCTAGTGATGGAGGCTGGCTCGAGCAGCTGCCCCCCGCCGGCGGCGACTTTGGAGAACTGATGCGTGAGAAGAACTTGGTTATGGCGTTCGGCTTGGACTTGGAGGTGGACGCCGAGGACGAGGAGGCTGTGTACGTGGACGACCCGCTGATGATGCCCCCCGTGGCGGCGGCCTGGAGCGTGGTCAGGCGGTAGCTGGAACTGCCACAGCCCGCCGAGATTTGCTCGGGCACATCCCTCACGGTCTTATTGGGCGGCGGTTTGGTGTACGATCTGGTGATCTCCGATTGCTGTTTTCGAAAAGTGAAATGTTAGCACACGTTGGGCTTTTCTATTGACTGCCGAAGGACTTACCTGGTAGCTACTCCTGATCTGCAGATGACGATCCTGTCCGTACTCGCTGTCCGGCAGTGGTACATGGTGGGGACAGCGCGGGGTCTGCTGCTGCTGCTGATATTGGTAATGTTGATGGTGGTCGTTGCTGTGGCTCTGCAGCGAGGAGCCACACGAAGACAATGAGGAGGAGCTCTCGCCCTTCCCACTCCCACTCCCGCTCCCGCTCCCCGTGTTGCCATACTTGAGTGTGGTGGCCTCGATGCCGCCTCGCGCCACATTACTACTAATACTATTGTTGTTGTTGTTGTTGTTGTTGAGCCCTGTACTGCCACTGCCACTGCCACTGCCGGTGCCACTGCCGGTGCCTGCGCTGAAGCTAGAGCTGGAGCTGTGCGTCGTTGGAGTTGTCATGCGTTGCTGCTGATGCTGATGGTGGGAATGTTGTTGCTTATTGTTGTGATGATGGAGATGGAGTGATGGTTGCTGCTGCTGCTGCTGGTGCTGCTGATTGTTGCCGGCGCTACGAATCACAGAATCGCCACGTACAGCCAAGAGCTCACGTGCCTGGAGCGCATCTACGCGCATTCTACATCTAAATTGATCCCTGCAGAGAGACAAGACAATCAATCGATGGATTAGCATTCACTTTCTCATGGGGGAGATCTGCTGTTTCTTTGATCTATCTGCCTACCTATCGTCGGGTGGTGTGCTTAATGATGTGCGGGTCGGAACGCCGAGCCGCTCCATTCCCGCGCAGCCGGCCGTCTGTACCGATAGCATCTGCAAATACAAACAGAACAGAGAATCCCATTAGAACATGCTCCACGCCAAGGGGCAGGTGAAGGGTAACAGAAAGGGAAGAAGAAATCCTAAACATATAATATATGATTATTACACTCAAAAATCCTCGTCCTGACAGCTATCCACCTCGGCCACCGTCTGGTCGCGCTCCATCATCAGCCAGCGCTTGTTGACCAAACGATTGCCAAAGTACTCCGGCAGGGCCCCCTTGAAGAACTCGCTCACATGAAGCTTGATGATAATCTCCATCTGATTTGTGTCGAATCCCTTTAGGGGGCGGAAGATGAAGCGACCCGCATAGTGCAGGAACTCTCGACGAAAAGAGCCGTCTGCAGCCAGAGCGAATTGCGGCCGCTGGCGAGACAGGGATTGCAGCTGAGGGTGCGCTGGAGATGGCATTGGCTGAACGACACATCGAAGTACAGAGTGAAGCACTCCAGGTGCCCATCCTTGGTGACCTTCAGCCGTATCTTGCATCTCGGATGAAGCCATTCTTCTTCAGCCAGCGATCCCGTGCCTCGAGCACCTCCAGGATCTCCGACTTCCACAGCAGCGAGTGACCCATCCAGTTGCATACAATCCCGTCCACTTTCTCGGGCAGCTCCAGATCGGCCACGCGCCCGTGCAGCACCTTCACGGTGTCCTCGCAGTGATTCTGCTTCACCACCAGCTCCCCGTAGTTAGTGACCATTCTTGCGGTTCAAACGAAAATTTTAGAAGCTTCGGGCAGTGCTGTGCAGTGGCCAATCGATAGGTCATTGCAGTGTGACCAACTCTCATCTGTGACTTCTTTTTTATTTCAATATCTTAAATTAATACGTCTGCCGATTTGGGATTCCCGTAAAATCGTGATAATACTTTTTTGGCTAGCTAAAATGCCCCCGCAGTCTTCAGCCACCTCTTTGTATTTGCGATAGGTCGATAGGTCTGCAATCGCAGTGTGCCCAAATCACGGCTTTGATCAGTTGCTCCGCTCTCCGCTCTCTGCCGGTGTTTTATTTAAAATCGTTGTAAAATTGTTATTTAGTGTTTATTGTGTTTGTAAAAGTGCTGTGCAGTCTTTGCCATTGTTGTTTTTTGTGTGTGTGTTTTTTTTCTAGTGTTTCAGTGCATTTTTTTCTTGATATGCTGCTCTCTGCATTTTGGCGCGATTCTTGAGCCGCCGCTATCTAAGTTTCCATACTACGTCCGAGTACACCGTTATGTTGTGTACGGCATCGTGTGTGTATGTGTGTGTGTGTAAGCGAGTGTCTATTTGAAAATGGCCATTCTCATAACTCAACATGTTCTACATTCCGTTACCTGCCCCAGCCGCCGCACCCCACCGGCCGATTGATGTGTGCAAGCGGGCATGAAAGAAAGAAATGACAAATCTCTGCAGAAACAACGGCAAATAATCGGGCACGAATATTTTCGGCAACGGTCGCGGCGGCGGTGGCCGAAAAGACTTTGTAAATTATACAAATATGCAAATGCAATTTTGTAAATTAAAATCTCGTGAAGCTATGTGGCCACCAGTCTGCGATCATGTGTGTTGTGCGAGTAAGTTCTTTTCTTTTTGGCCTGTCGTATTTTTTTGCCGCACCCTTGCAGGTTGTGTATGTGGATTATAGCGATATGTTTGACAAGCATTTTCAAATCCATAGCGCACTGAAATATATTCTTCATTAGTAGCAGTTGTCCAGTTGGCTGACTCCTTATCTTATAGCTGCCCTGGAAACGATACCCTCCGCAAGGGTATCAATATTTCGGTTCCCGAGTATAGCCTTCCACTTTCGAATTTTATTGTTTCTGTTTTTTGGGTAATCTGAGCAGCAAATATCGCATCACATTGTCTGGGGCATCTTCCGTCTCTCACTCTCTCTCTCTCTCTCTGCCTCTTTCTCCCCTCGCTCGCTGGCGGCAAAAAATTAGGTTAAAATGTTTACTCGAGCATTGCAGACAGGATTGGCAATAACCTCATTTTCTGTTGGGGGGTCTCCGTCCCCGTCTTTCCCCCTCCCCGCCACCCTCTCTGACGTAAGAGAAATTTGTGCTTTCTGATGTCGCTGTTGTTGTTGGGCGTAAGCCAGGCCATAACCGGCTCTTTCTGCATCTGTTGTTTATCTTTTTGGGTCTAACGAAAAGTGACATAATATCAGACGCAGACAGACCCTTGTGTGGGTCCCTTGTTCCTGGCAGTATCCTTGAAACTTTTCGACTTTCAATGTTTGTTTAGGCCACAAAAATGTGCCCGCCACCAGTCAACACTGGGAGGAATGAGTGCAAGGGTAACAAACAGCTGTTGCTCCACATATGTACATATGTACACACATTAACACACAGATGTACGTCTGTATGTTTATCTCGCTTACTCTCACGCTCTCTGTAAATGTAATTGTAATTTATGCAAGTCTCTGCGTGTCTGGTGCGTGCGTCTGGCATAGATAACGGTTTTAATGAAAGTTCCTCTTTCACACATCTACGCCCCGCTCTCGGCCTAATGTTAACGCCTACAACGTGTGTAACCATGCGAATGTGTGTGTGTGTGGCTCATGCGAGCACATTTTAATAATCAATTTGAATTATTCATTGGCTAACGGCGGCAAATAAAATTCGATTAAAACACAACGCCTGGCTGCCTCTGTCGACGCCGCTCTTCCGTCGCTCTGGCACTGCCTCTGCCGCTAAACGCCTTGGGTTATTAGCGGCAATTGTGTTTCCCATTGCGTTGGCAGCAAGCAGCAAGCAGCAAGAAGCCGCAAGAGCAATGCCGCCCACGCAATGTCTCCACCATGCCCCCGCGCCGTCGCCTCCCTTCGTCTTTACTGCTAAATGGCTTTGCCGACAGGCGGCGCTGGGGAGCAAGAGAGCGGGAGAGCAGGAGAGCGGGAGAGCGGGAGAGAACACTCTGAGCAATGTTGGAAGGCATTCATTTATTATATTCCAATACAGTGGAGACACCTGTCATGTGCTTGGGCCTGCACTTATCTAGAGTTCTCCCCAAGCCGACTTCCACATGGGGACCTCACTGTACAGACGCAGTTTTTCATTCATAATGTTCATTTGGCGTGGGCAAATGAAACAAAAGGCAAAAAAGAAATCTAGAAATGTAGAAAAATGAGCAAATGCGCACTGGAAGATGTCAGCAGACCGAGTAACAATTTGTCAAAGTTGCCGACTTTAATCTTTTGTAATGGGCGTGCTGGCACCTGCCCCTCATCACCTCTGTCCCCATAGTAATAGCAAATCTTAAAACCGCAATCTCCAAAGCCGCCTTAACGTCTTTGGCCACGCCGTCGTGCCTTGGCTTGGGCTTGGGCTGGGGGTCGTCCTAATGAGCGCAAGCCGAGGGAATCCACAAAATCCACAAAATCCACACATGTGGGTGCCCGCATAGAAGCCACAAGACGCGTTTGTGGAGCCCAGAGTGTGTCGTGCAGTGCAGTACGGTACGGCGGTTCCATTAAGGCGAAACCCGCCTCAAGGCCAGAGCCGGCGCAGAGTGGAAATTCAATAAGCAAATTCTACGATAAATAAGAATGGGCCACCACACCATTTAAAGTCAGGCAAATAGACAAAGCGCTGATGGAGAAATTGAATTTGTCTTGGCCATTATTATAATAAAGACGCATAAAAATGGCAGACAGCAAATGGTTTTTTTTTTCTTCTGTTTTTATGTTCTTGTTATTTTTGGGGGAGTGATAAAAATTGAATACCAAATGAGAGACAGAGTGACAGAGTGATATAGTGATAGCGAGAGAAAGAGAAAGAAAGAGAGACCGAAACAAACTTAAGGCAGACACCAAAGGACGTGCTGTGCATTCAACAAACATTGCATAACACACACACAGCATGCGAAAAGAGAGACCCGACCCAGAAGCAGTAGCAGTGGAGGAAGTGGAACCTGTAAAGGGCGTCGCGACAGAGCAGTAGGCGCAGTTACATAAGACTCGGCTCGGGCTCTGGCTCTGGCTCGTGCTCGGGCCGCTGCGTAGGCGACGACGAAAGCAATTTAAGCATGTCTGCTGCGCTGCCTGTGCCTGCCCTGCTTGCCCTGCTTGCCCTGCTTTCCCTTTCCTCTCCTCTCCTCTCCTCTCCACTGCTTGCTGTGTAGCTTCAAGGACTTTTGCCCACCGCTATGAAAATTACTGCATTGGCAGAGGGAGTGATGGGCTCGCTCTTTGTACCTCTTCCCGCTCCCTCTCTCTCTCGGTCTGTCTGTCTGCTTGGTCACAAAAGGGAATGCATGGCAGGGATATTGGCAGGCGAAGAAGGCAAAGGCAAAAGGCAGCACACAAAAAGAGAAAACTTTCGACACGTGTCTCCTTTTGGCATTCGTTTTATGGCTACACTGAGAGACATTATTGTTGTCATTCACTTGAAGTTTCATCGATCATTTATTTCTATACCTTATTATTTATTTGGATACTTTTTCAACTATTTACTTAGGTATGTACATGACCTTTGACCGATTTAGACCCTCTCGTGTTTTGTACCCTACTTTTTCTGGCCGTGCAGTCTAGAGCAGACGCGACGCGACAGCGAGGAGAGGACCAATCCCATGCGTTTCGTCCCTGTTTCCAACTGTTTCAGAACTTTTTCTTTCTACTTTTTTTTTATGTTCCTTCTTTCTTCCTTTCAAGGGGGTGGTAGGTGGTAGGTGGGTGGGAAGTACTTACGGGTACAGAATGTTCCGGCTCGGTTGGCAAAAGTGCTGTTGTTGTTGCTGCTGTCTCTGCTGCTGCTGCTGCTGCTGCTGCTTCTGCGGCGCCTGCTACTGTCTGATCCGCTGCAGCGGAGCCCAATGCGCTGTTGGAGGCGGTGCAGCTGGTGGCGGTGGCGGCGGAGGCGGTGGCGGTGGCGAGTGGTAGGGCCAGAGCAGAGATAGCCTCGTTACCCGTTACCAGTCCAATCCCCGTTGACAGCACCGCGTTGTTGCTGCTGCGCCGTCGTTGCGACGAGCGACGTTTGTGGCGTATCCTTCGCGTCGCTGCTGCTTCTAGTGTCAGTGTTGCTGTTGCTGTTGCTGCTGCTGCTGCTGTTGTTGTTGTCGTTGCTCCAGCTGCTGTTGCTGGGGCAGAGCGTAGGGCAATTGCGGCCACCAACACACTGCCGCAGGCCAAGCACACGGACAAACTAATGGCGATTAGCAACAAGCCACCTGCAACACAGAACAAATGTACGAAAAATGTTGTTAATTTTAGGTCTTAAAAAAATAACACACATTTATCTATCCTAATCTGTGGCCCAAAGTCTAGTATTTAATTTTAAGAAACTTTTTGCTTGGAGAAAGTCGAAACAATATTGTTTTCCTTTGCCGTTAAATTATTTATTTAAATAATTACCTCTGTGTTTTTTTTTTTTTTTTGGGTAAATTTAAATAATTTATTCCCCCTCACGCACTGCGTTAATTACTATAAATAAACGATACGAAACGAAACGAAACAAAACGTAAAGCTAGTACGGCCCACTGCACAGCCGAAATAACAATGAAAGAGGAAAGAGCAAGAGAAATAGACAACAGACAACAGAGCAGAAGCAACAAAAACAACAAAAAAAAACATAAGAAAAGTAAAGTAAAGTATGTACGACTGCCGCTCGCTATCTACAAGGTGCCGTACCCGTACCCGTACCCGTGCAGAGATATAGACGGACGGACAGAGGACAGGGGACACGGACACACCGCAGACGTATGCGTCTAGACTAGATAGCAGACGACTTAAGTGTGATACAAGCACACATGCGCACAATTGTAGCGGTAGTCGGCGAGCGAGAGCAACAGAGAAACAGAGAGAAAGGGAGGGCGAGCGTGTGAGTGAGTGCGCGAATGTAGGCGGACGGCAATTCGATAAACAAATAGGCGAAAAGAAGGCTATCGATGGAATGAGATTGACACAGAGAATACCTTATAATCGAAAAATAGAGAGGAGGAGAGCGAGAGTGATGCCTATGCATTTTAAACTGCTTGCATGCACTTTCACTGCATACGAACTGCTTGTATGTATGGCATGCTTGCTTGTAAACTGCTTGATGGGTGATATTAATTATATGAAGCTTATTGGATGCACTGCTTGTATGCACTGCTTCTGAACTGCTTGCTATTAATTGCCCAATGCTGGATATCAATGATACGCAACGGTGTGCCGGCCCATCTCGCACTGCTTGGTTATGTTTTCTCTCTGGGTGATCTGTCTAGACATCTGTGACCATCGTAGGGCTATATTTAGAATATCTGACCACAGCTTTCGCCCCACAAATCGATCCCAGCCATTACGCTGCACAAAACTTACGGGGTTATTTTTATACCACTTTGTATTAAAAAGTACCATTGTAACCAAAACGCTTCAATTAGTAATGGGTATTATGGGCGATATGGCAGCCACATTCCAACCGACACGGCACGGCAAGACGGGGGGACATAGAGACGGACGGCGGACAGACGCAGACCCAGACAGCGCTGATAGAACGGCAGACAAACAGAGGCCACCCGTCGCGGTCGCAGACCCTGTAACAGAGCAAACATAGACGACAACACACAGCCACAGCCACAGAATGAGAGAGATATTGTATGTACATGCGTTCGCGTTCGTTCGTTTTGCGAGAGATACACAGATACACAGATACAAAAGCGGCGATGGCTTGCGCAACAAGATTTTACAATCACACAAGCAGTAAATATCATGACGCTCTGTCTGATATTCGGTTGCAACAACAACGCCGGCAGCTACAACACGTTCAACGTTCGGTGGAACAGCGCAATTTCATCAAGGCGAAAATGACGCAGCTATGTAAACGTTGCCATCTCTATCGCACCCACTCGACCATGGGCTAGAGCCCCTCCTTACCCCCTGTACGTCCGTCTGCCTCCCGCTCTCCCTCATTCTCTGACGATCAGTGAATGAAAATGAAAATATACGACAAGATGGGGAAGGGGGAGGGGTGTGGGGTGTGGGGTTGTTTGGAGATTTTTCAGTAATTTATGATTTTAATGAAAAAGAGAAATGCTGCGCAGAAAAGTGAACAAAAAAAAACACACACAAACAAATAACAAGACCAGAAAATAGCCGAAGCATTTGATACCCTCTCGATTGGTCGGGCAACATCTTTCTGGTCACCCGAGGTCTCCGACTGGATATCAGGATATCTCTGCAATGTTTTTTTTTTTCTTTTAATCAACACTCTCTCTGGGCTCTGCAAAGGGTATTAGAGACTGGAGAGACAATTATACAACAAACACACGGCAGACACGGCAGAAAGGGGTACACGGTAGGGGTACGGGTACGGGTACGGGTACGAGTACGGGTCTTTGCATGCCAGACAGACAGCGAAAAAAGTTAATCAACTGAAATTAAAATGTACATCGCACGAAAACAAAAGCAAAAACAAGCAACAAAGTGAAAAATATGTCAACAATGTCTATGACTCGCTGACTCTCTGGCTCTCTGACTCTCACTCTGACTGTACTCCCCGCGTGTGCTTGCACTGCTTGCTCTTGCTCTTCAGCGGAAAACCGACGACGAAAAAGCACAAGTGGCAGCACTTTAGACTTTTGCGCATTCCCAGCCCCAGCCCCAGTCCCAGGCCCATTCCCGTCTCCCGTCGCCCAGTCCGCCGCTGTCCCGCGCGTCTGTCACTCAGGTTTTAACCGTCTCAGGTGACTCAACTGTTAGCCGTAGCCTATCCTACGGTCGCGGGTCGAGTCGAGTCGAGTCGCCATTCGCCAGTCACTCGCTCGAGGGCTGCCTTTTATAGCCTTTGTTTTTAGATAATTATATATTTTGTTGCTGTTGCAGTTGCTGTTTCTGTTGCTGTTGCTGTTGCTGCTGTTGTTGGGGCTACCCTGTAATCGGCTGTGGCACCACACACTTCAAAGTCCGATAATATCCATAAAAGCGAAAGATACGAATAGGGATAGGAAATTCAATTATGGTTTCATATTTCTTCTTGGAATCATCTTTACAAGCCCCAAAACAGATAGTCTTTGACGATCTACAGGGTATTCATTAAACTGATCATTCCATTTGGGTGATATGTGTGAGTGTGTGTGTTTTTTTTTTTAATTGTTGCCGCTCGTTTCTGGTTGTTGCAATTAATTTTATCGCAAGTGAAATGATTGAGCACGTCTGGGGCCACGTTTTGCGTCTGGGACTACTAATCAACTGATACCCTATAAAATAAAGGCCCAACCAGACCGCAGACCCCAGACCGCAGACCCCAGACCCATGAAAGAGAAAGGAATACATGGCAACGGTTCAAAATCTGTTTAAACGTTCGATTGAACCGCTGACGCACGTGTGGCCCCTCCGTCCCGTTTCGACTATTGAAAAGTGCTAAAATAATTGTGTGAATTTCAATTTCAATATTTGAATTGATCGCACCAGACGGCACTGGCACTGGCCCCAGTCCCACCACCAGACGGGCGTCAGACCCCCCCAAAGCCAGACGAGGGGGGGGTAGAGACGGATCGGTTCGGTTCGGTTCGGATCGGATCGGACAGTTGGCTAACACTTTTAGCCACAGCGATCGATCCAAGCAAACGACTTTCGTGGCTATTTTTATTTAATAGTGGAACGGACATTGAACGGTAGACACCAGTGGAGGGGCGAGTGCATACGGAGGAGGCGAGGGGGAGGGGGAGGGGGAGGGAAACTTGTTTCAATCTCTCTATTCGTGAAGTTCCTTGACCGAATATGTATAGAGGCAGAGATAATTCCACCATATATGTATGTACAATCGAGAGTAATTTCCCCCAAATTGCATTTGATTGAGTGCGCGAGAAGATCGCGGGATGATCCACCTTTTGGACTTGCCTTCTTTCTTTCTCTGGCTCTGTCGCACAACAAAAGTTATTAATTCAATGATTATGATCGTTGCGCTAATGACAGTCAAGTGCAGTACTTGCCCCATCCCCATCCCCATCAACACCCGCATACCCATTGCCAAATAGCCACACGGTTTTTTGGGGGCAATGCCATTGACACCTTGATTGGATGTCAAGGTTGTGTGTGGATTGTGGATATTGTGTGTGGAGCCTGGACTCTGGAGAATGTCATGCCTTTTCCTCTAGCAAAATCCATCCAACCGGCCAGAGGGCAAAGAGAGCTTTAGCAATCATAATACATTGAGATGACATTGAACTTGAAAAATCACAAAGATCTGAAATATCATTTGGTGCTCATTGTGTTGTTGTTTCGTTTGTCAGGGGTGTTGTTGTGTCGAATTTTCTACGATTAAGATGGGGGATCTGTGGATCTGTGTTTGGTAGGCAGTTTTCGAAGCACTGCTTGTTCTGTCGGTGCGTGTAAGCAGCAGAATAAGCAGTCCGTATGGGAATGCCAAGCCAACGGTTCAATGCGTACAAGCAGTTCAAGGTTGACAGCAGCACATATGAGACACAACCAGGTCAAGCAGTTCAAAGTGCAGAGAATACACCAAGCAGTGCATATGAAGCCCAGATGCAACGCAGTGCAAACATCAGGCGGAAACGAAGCCGAGGTAAAGGAAGCAGTAGACAGGCAGCAGCATCATCAGCTGACGTCAGTCGCCAGCATCGTCTGCGTCGTTTGAATGCTGTTGTTGTTGTTTTTTTTTTTGGCAAAGAATTTTTGTCTAGTTTTCAGTGCACAAAATATTACAATGTTGTCCGGGGGTGAGGGGGGGGGGGGGGGGGGGGCGGCGGAGGCTGGGGGCAAAAGATGAAAAGTCGACAAAGTCCCCACAGTCTGTGATGCATTACAGTTCTGCCTGCGCCCTGCCGCCACCCACACCGCCCCTTGAGAGAGGCCAACCCTTTTTTCCCTCTGTGTGTGTGTGTGTGTGTGTGTGTGTGTGTGTGTGTGTGCTTGCAGCTGTAGACATTGCGCACAGCAACAGACAGAAAGAGCGAGAGAGAGAGAGAGAGACGGAGAGGTAGGGAATGCAAATGAATGAACAAAATGCAAAATAAAATAAAAAATAGAAAGAAAGAAGAAAAAAAAAAACTGAAACAAACCGCAGACAGCGGCGTCGACCTCGCCCATTCCCAGGCAGCAGCGGCTGATGATGAGGTGGATACCCCCCTGCCGCACCCCCCCCGCTGTCTGTAGCTCTGCTGCTGCTGCTGCTGCTCGTGTTTGCCGCCTGTCGTTTGACCTTTAAGCGATGCGAGTGCATTCCAACAAC